CAGACTGTGGCTAACCTTGCCCCCGCAGAACCTCGACAGGGCAGTGTCCACCGGTGGAAGCGGGGCGCACGGTCAGACGGACCCCATTGGCCCCGATGCTCTCTTCGCCCAGGGTGCCATCAAGGCTTCCGCCAAGGGCCAGGTCCTCGCTACGGTGAATGTATGCTAGCTGGTTCTTCTCCCATGTGCGCCGAGTGCTGATATACTGCTCCAGCCTGGATCGAACACCATCTCCCTGTTCTCGATCAACCCCAAGATACCCACGGCCATCAAGCAGATCGGTAACCCGGTCTCGTCTGAGGGCGAGTTCCCGATGTCGCTCGCGTTCAACGCAGACGGCACCCGCCTCTGCGCGCTCAACGGTGGCTTCGTCAACGGCGTCGTCTGCTACAACGTCGACAAGCAGGCCGGCCTCAAGCCGATCGCGAACTCGCAGCGCTCGCTCAACCTCAACCAGACCACGCCCGCGACGGGCCCCGCGGGCTCGGCCTCGCACGTTATCTTCAGCGAGGACGGCTCGCAGCTCCTCGCGTCCGTCAAGGGGGTCCCGCCCACGCCCGGCTTCATCGCCGTGTGGGACGTTCAGGCCGACGGCTCGCTCTCGGCGGACTTCAAGAGCGTCGCACCGCCGTCCGGCGGCGCGCTGCCGTTCTCGATGACCCTCATCCCCGGGAAGAACGCGCTGCTCTCGACGGACCCGGCCCTCGGCTTCGACGTGTTCGACTTGAGCAGCGGGAACGCGTCATCTGCGGTGCCGATCAGCGGGCAGAGCGCGACGTGCTGGTCGAGCTTCAGCAAGAAGACGGGCAACTTCTACCTCACTGACATCGGCACCTCGACCGTCACTGAGGTCAACGTCGACGACAACCTCAAGGCCACCATCGTTGCGGTATGTATCTCTTCGTTATCTCCCGCTATCCGCGTGCGTGTCCTGACTATCTTCCTGCAGCAATACAACCAGACCGCGGGCTCTGCGACGATTGACAACGACATTGCTACGATCAACGGAAATGAGTGAGTATATGGACGCAGAAACTCCTGCTACGCTCTCGCTCATAAGCCTTCGTATAGCTTCCTTTACGTGCTTGCGCCCAACGCCACGCAGATCGACGTCCTTTCCCTTCAGTCCGCTGGTAACGCCAAGCACATCAGCACCCTGGACATCTCCGGCCCCACCAAGGCCGCTGGTGTGACCATCAGTACGTCCCCCCTTCCCATCCCTCGCCGCCGGCCAAGCTAACCTTACGCTCTCTTAGACCCATTCAACCTCCAGGGTTTCACCACCTTCATCAAGCAGTGAAGGGCTGATCGTTCCCTTGTCCATCGTCCATCGTTCGTTCCTTAGAGCTCGCCTAATATGTGGTCCCGGTTGTGTCTTTTTGTCTGGTCCTGGTGCTGGTTCTTGATGATCCACTGCGCCTGTAGTCTATAGAGTTACGCTCTTCTTGGTCTCTCGGATGTATCCCTAGTCACATTCATACTTATACAAGTGGGGAAGTCACTTGAACCGCTGTCTGTGTGCTTGGCCGCGCGAACTCGCAAGCAACATTTACGATCGTGGAATCGGCAGTGTACGAGTAGCGCCGGGCCTGGAGCACAGCGCTCCGCCCGCAGTAAGTCTGGCAAAGTATCAAACAATAGCAGTGAATCGTGCCGTGAACGTTACGTCGATCGACGACCCTTGGGCGTCGAACTCTATCAAGCCCGCAAGAATCGCAGCAACCTGATTTACGTCCAAGTTAGAACAGAAGCCTTAGTAAATTACGTTTCATCGAAGCCCTCGCAAACAATAGGTAACAGCCGAATAAATGGAGTGGTATCGATGTCGGGTCGCGACACAATAATTGATGACTATGGATACATGTACCGTCTACAAATGCGTGTACAACAGGGGGAATGATGCATGCGAGACCGTGAGAAGCGTGAGTACAAGATAATAGACCGAGTCGTGGATGGGGATGCGATGCAATGGAGAGTGCTGAGACGATGCAGGGAGATGTGTCCGAGAAGAAACCGGGAAGAGCGGTGGTCATGGCGACGCAATGGAAGTTCCTGGGGTAAGGTACGACCTGAACGTCTTCCTCCATTCCGGGAGGTGGTAGAGGGAGAAGCTGCGCATGGCGGCGCGAGGTAGTCGAAGGCACAGTACCAACCGCCTCGTCGCGGACGAGGGCAGCCGTACGCACCTGAAGCCCCATCGCGCGTGCGCTCCAGCAACACGCCTGGCGATGCCTACTTCGACTTCTTCGTCGGAGTGTGGCCTGCGCGAGCCATGGCGATTGCCTGGCCCTGCGCGGCGTTGTGCGGGGATCCCGAGGCGAGGGCGGCGAACATGGTGTGCGTGTTGCGCGGGTCCTGCTGGAAGGACGCGAACGCATGCGGTGATGAGGGCCCCGTCGGGAAGAAGCTCGCGATGGGCGAGGACGGGGGCGACGTGTAGATGGACGACATGATGGTAGTGCGGGGTTCGTGAACTGGTATCGTGCCCGCGTAGTGGTGGGTTTGCAGCGAGGTAGTACAAGTACGTCGCGCGTAGTCGTGAAGAGTGTTTGGATGCGGAGCGTTGGCTCGTACGCGTCTGAGGAATAGAGGGTGCGAGAGAGGTTTGGCTGGGTGTGGCCGAACGAGCTGCGGGTGAAGCGAAGCCTTGGGGTAGACGGGCCCTGTCGGCAGTCTTTTTATGCGAGGGCGCGAAGCTAGCGGGATGTGAGCGAACACAAGGCTTGCCTTTCCTGTCCCTCGACTCTCCTCGGTGCGCCCTGCGAATACAAGCTCCCTGCCAAAACGGGACGGCGGCACATGACCTACGATATATGACTTGCCTTTCTGGGTTGAAGGGATGTTCCGGGAATGGATTCGTGCCGTGGTTTACGAGAGGATCAGACTTCGAACTCGAAGAACCCATGCGGCAAGGCGACGCGAGCAACGCAGACACGCCCGAGTACAAGCCACCTCGTGCTGAGGTAGCCAGATCTGAGCAAAAGCCGTCCGTCAGTTTCCAAACGCAGCAGAGACCGAAGAGGCTAACTCACCGGCATCGCACACATATGGACCAACAAGATGACTAGGCCGACGCACCTGGCAGTGACCCTTGTTCCGCCGAAACTTCCTCACCCAGAGAGCGATACGTCTCTATACTGCCCTTGTATTCCTATGGAGTTATCCTCAATCGATACATCGTGAGGTCGAGCCGACTGCTATGAGGTACGGTAAGTAGGTGTATACTAGGCGACATGGTATCACGATTAGCATCTAACACTAGGAATATGTTGCATCAGCCAGGACATGCGGAGAGCAGCGAGTGAAAACGATCATGACGACGATGGAGACAGAAACCAGCCGATCCAAACAGAGATAGAATCAAGGAACGAAGAATATAGACACAGGTAAAACTGGCCCAAAAGAGGATCTATAGCTCCACTCATGTCCGGCGGATGCAAGCCCTATGCCAAACAGAAACAGAGGCCCATGCGAGGTGAGAAGAACAGGTGTCCATCGAGCATCGAGTCCATGCGAAGGCTATGCTATAGCAATGCGGAATGGTGCTCGCCTGACGCGACCAGTCGATTCCAGTCCTGTCTCCACCGCGCCATATCCGAACGGATCTTCTTGTCGCCGAGGACCTTCTCGATCCAATGCAGGACAGCATCCTCGTCTTCGGGAACAAAGAAGGATGAAAGCAGAGACAATACCGTCTCGAAGTTAGCCGACTCCGAAGTGATGTGATCTGTCGGTCACAAAACGTCAGATTGACTCAACGTGATTGGGCAAGCGCGTACCTCGGTAGACCCAGATGATAGCCAACGCAACGACCACGAATATATCGTGACCCTCCAGCAGGAAAGCATCCCACAGCCGGAGTTGCATCTGGAACGGCACAGAGTTTGCAAACAGGGTAATGTACCACTTGGTTGCGTACGACGTTGTCGATACTGTGTGTTTCTTGAAAGCGCCGTACACAGCTGGGAGCATCTGCTCTGTCAACCGCTCTTGGACGTAGATCGCCTCAAGGAGACCAGGGAAGCCAGGACTGAATACGGAATGCATGCTGTACGAGTCGTGTAACCGCACTAATGACGCGTAGGCGCGTTCCGGCTCGTAGTAACAGAGGAGGGTCGCGGCGAGGGGGCCCATGCCTTGACAATAACCGCATGTTTCACACTTCAGCGAGAGTGAATGCAGGACGTGGAACAATGACCGTTGCCTGCAAGACTGAATGAGGGGAGAGAATGGGGTCGCGGCTCGGTGACACATACCCTTGGCCATATCTTGTCCGGAAGAGGACATGCCCGCTGATCGTCCGTGGCACATCCAAGTCGATCTGTACGTCATACGTCGAGGGCTTGTCGAGGGCTTCCCGGTACTCTGCCATAAGTTCCCGAAGCTCCACCTTGCCCGTGCGCGAGAACCTGCACATGAGGACCTCCCAGGCGGCGCTCCGCCAGCAGTCGGGGATACCCTTGTACACCCGCTCCCGGAACTTGGGCTCCTTCGACGGCTTGATACCCCAAAAGTCGATGTTGCCGCCCTCGTCCCGGGAAGCAGCGACGAGCATCCGGCCCCACTTGGCTGTGCGCGAACCTTCCTTGACGGGCGGTGGACTATCTGGCTGGTGTGGGAGGAGTGGCGGGCTTGCGGGACCAGTTATCACCGCCGCGGATGTGCGCGCGAGCGGCTTAGAGAAGGGCGCGGCAGGCATGGCAATAAGGCGGTCGTGGGAGGGTGTGTTGAAGAAGCCATATCTATGACACACCTGATGATGAGATTGACTCAGAAGCTAACGGCGGAACGCACGGACCTGTCAAGGCTCTGGAGCAACTCGACCTCTTGCGGTGCAAGTTCGCGCGTCTTCTCCTGCCCATCGCCGAGCGCCTGCTGCGCCCGTAGTTCGCTTGCGCGGCTGCCGCCGACGCGCGCCCGCGTCCGCTCTACGCCCTCGTCGTAGCCGTCGCCCTTGACACCGCACTGGTCAAGCTGCGCGTACGTGCTCCGGACGTGGAACGAGTCGGCATCCTCCCCCTCGGAGCGCACCACGGCCGAGTGGTTGCTTTCAGGCGTGCTGACCGCAGACGTCGAGCTTCGTGGGGAGGATACAGGGGAAAGGTGGTCGCCTGCAGGGACGCGCAGCGAAGGGGTGGGAGACGGCGAAAATGACAGGTGTAATGGTCGTGTCGGCGGAGAGGATGGCGTGCCAGGAGATGATGGAGGAGAGATCAATGGAGACAAGGGCGGCGCTTGCGGTAGGGGTTTGGGGTCTAGGGATCCGAGGGGCAAGGGGAGAGGCTTACTGCCACCGTTCGAGGTCGAAGCTCTGTGCTGCCCCGCGGAAGTTGGCCGACTCCGTGGGCCAGAGGGTCGCCGGTCAATACCAATGCTACGCCGCGCCGTTCCGGTGTCACCTGCACTCGTGCCATCGGCGATGGAGTGACGGACAACGGACGATGGTCTGCTGTTGGTGTAGGCAAGCTGAACGGTACCAGTGGTGGAAACCACGGAGTGCCTCGGCTTGTCCGAGGTACTGTGCCGTTTCCCCATGCTGGCACGTCGGACGTCATAAGTCGCTGTGGTGGTATCGTAGAACGCGCTGTCCTCTAGTGCCGTGGGGTCTTGCTGGAGAAAGGAATTCCGGTAGGATGGTATGGGGTGGATGGAGTCGCTCCCTGCGACGTGAATTCCAAGACCGTCCTTCAGACTGCGACTCACGGGACGAGACTGGGCCGCCTGGCTGACGGCAGATGCGGCGGCGGCAGACCAGCTGCTGGCTTCTTCCTCGTACATTGAATAAATAGTTACAATGGTCGTCGTGTCTGACGAGCTGCGCTCGCGCTCGGTCGAGCCCTCGGAGGACGAATGGGTGAGCTCAGGTAGGGCCAATGAGTGGCCGTCTGGCGTACGGCTCAAGCCGGGCGAGTGTGGGGCGGGTGTGCTGATGGGGGTTGGGGGGACGACGACGTAGAGCGGCGAGGACATCAACGCGAGAAAACGCACAGCGACAGCGGGGAGATGGGAGGGAAAAGAACGAGAGAAGGAGTGGCGGGAAGAAGGGATATGAGACACTCAGGTCATTGGCGTCGCTTGTACGTAGAGGACTCTTCCAAGCTGCTGCCGCCGCCTCAAGGCGCCTCATTCGCAGCCACTCCGCGCATCAATCTTCCACCGTTTCCATCTTGACACAGGCTCGTATGGCACTCTGTTTCATGACTTATCCACAGGTATATCCGGACTCCGTCCGACGCAGCTGCAGAACAGGACATCGTCTACAGTGCACCAGAAAGGGATTATTTAGGGCTGTTTCCTCGGCCGTTCGCGCCGCAGTAGCCGACACCGGCTTTCACAGCTTCTCTCCCACCTCGCCGGGTATGCACAGCTCACAGGCAAGCAACGCGGTGACCCGCGCATACAAGCAGCCCTATCGATACGCCGCAGTTGCTAACTGCTTGCCGCGGACCGACCGGGTGCATACCCGCATGACCGTCAATCAGCACGATTTCCAACGTACACATCAAGGCGCACGTCATCATCAAATTCGATCCGTGCCTCGCTGCAGGCTCGGACCCGCAAGCCTTACCTGGACGTCGACGCTTCGAGGGGTCGTATCGAGCAGCGGTATGAACCAACGCCTTCGTCCAAGTGGACAGGATGCGTGTCGGCTAAGCTTCTTCATGTCTCAGGAAGCTCCCAAGGTGCCGTTGAATCGCTGTTGCATACAGGGTATAGATCCTACACGAGACGCTCGTCACAATCCTACAATCAAATATCCTCAAAGCGACGTTGCGACCGTGCAGCTGCTCTCCTTCTGACAGACAGCCGTGCGTCCAAGGTTTTTCTTGATAGGACCTGCATACGACAAACGCGTGAGTGAAGATTATTCGGACCGAAGGACACGCCCACGCACCAGTAGGACCGCTGACAAACTGACACTCGTCGACCAGGCTCCCAATCACGAGACAGTACTGCCCGTGCTCGTCGTCTGGGTACTGCTCATCACCCCACGCGCCCTCGTACTGCAGCCAGCCTGCGCCTTCGGCATCGATGGACTGCGCGCCGGAGCCCGCGCCACCAGCAACGCTGAACGTCTGGGTGCTGTTGTCGAACCAGAACGCACGGTAGTTCGCGGCGAGGTCCCAGACGAAACTGGCGTCAGTCTGGTCGCAGAGCAGGTCTCCGGGCAGGTCGTGGCAGTGCTTGCCGGGGGTGGCGTAGTTGGCGTGCGTGCCGACGCCAATGTACGAGATCGGGCGGCCGTTGGTCTTGTTGACCGCGTCGAATGTGTATGCGGAGCCGCCAGAGTGTGCGGAGAGGTAGAACTCGGTGGGAGTGCCGTTGGTGAAGCGGACCATGGTGTGTTCCCAGTCGCCTACGTGATCGCCGAACTCAATGTCCAGAACCTGGACGACACGAGCGAGTTGGTGTCACAATCATGGTTGGCAAGCAGAATGTTAGCGCGGCGCTCACCTTTCCTCCGTGGTCATAGGAGTAGAAGTAAAAGAAGAACGCGTCGAGAATGCCTCCGGGCTTGTTCACCAGGACGATCGTCGACGGTGCCGTGCTGAGCCCATTGGCATCGGGCTTGCCAGCATCATTTGTAATCCAATCGGGAGACGTCGTCACGTCGTCCTTCGAAGTCAGGAAGACATCGCTGGCCAGTGAGGGGATGGTCTCGAACGTGACGGCATCCGCGATGTTCGTGAAGTTCACCTGGGGCGTAACGTGGGTCAGGTGGACCGCAACGTCCGAAGGCCACCATTGCTCCTTGGAGTAGAGGTACGACAGCGGTGCATGTTCAAGGACAAACGATGGCACCGGGTCGCGCTTTGCCAGGCGAAGGGGCGACGCCGCAGCAGACAGGGAGAGGGCGAGCGCTGAGAGAGCGGACAGAGCGATTCCGACCATCGTGCTGACTGTGCGGTGTCCACCGGGGCAGGAGCGGAAAACCCAAGTCCGTCCGTAACGAACTTAAATACGTCGATGGGCATGGATGTCGCTTGCTCATCGACTTCCGTTGCCTCGTCCGCTGTATACTTGAGATGAACAGAAGTCGAGAACGTGATAGCACATGCCTACGTGCCGTGGCTGTCAGCGCGTCCGTGATGTGATCCTGTATCGGATGGGAGCTAAGAACATTCCTCGGCAATCGTGACCACACCGTGTGGGCCACGAACGAAATTGCACACGCGCCCGAAACAAGCTGGGCCTCCTGTTGCAACTCTCATCAAGCTTCGGGAGCATGCGCTTCAGATAAGAACGTTGGACACGCTGCGATCTTCTTTGCTATTAGTGGAGGCACAGAATCAGGACTTGATCAGTAGTCTTCCTTGAGCTAACGCGGCCGCACTCCGTCTGGGGCAAGATATCCTACTCACCGTACCGCAAAGTTGTAAACAAGGACTTCCCTCGGCGAACAACCGACCGTATGGTGGCCGCACAGCATGAGCTCCTACGGTCAGTCTCTTTGCATGGAGATGTTGATCTAAATGCCTCCGAGTTGGCATGGGTAACTGATCTGCAGAACCGGTGTCGCGACTAGATGCTTCGGCCATCATCCCTTCGTCATGAGCAAGTACCATGAGCACGGAGCGGCAGCATTACCTAATACCGACGCTGCACGCGCATCATCGATTCTGCTGAGGCAGAATCTCAACAACCCAACTACGCAGGTCATGGGCCTGGAGACTATATATCTCCCCAGAGAAGTGTGTAGACGGAGATTGAGAAGCACAGATCCATGCGCAGTACGCTTGAGATACGGTCGTCGTTTCCAGAGTCCCGTCGAGCAGGTTCGAAGAGAGAGATGGCTTGAACGGGTGATAGGTATTTGCTGGGACCTGCTTTCACGGCGCTGTAGCCAAGTGGTTACGGCGACAGATTAGAAATCTGTTCTCCTTTGGAGGCGCAGGTTCGAATCCTGCCGGCGTCGTTATTTTGGGTAAGCATTCTGTCTTGGGATGTTTGGGTGAGTCAGCCAGTGCTGATATAATCTGTTTTGGTACTCATGGAAGATCTACGATCTACGATGCCACTGTAGTTCCTGTACTGCGCCGCGACTGATGTCACGTAGTGAGTGTTCTTCCAGCGGGCCGCCAAGTGAGACTCGCAGCACCGCGCAGTCCAATATTCGACCTCTGCACTTCCCAACAAGTATATAAGGTGCATCCGCAGGATCTACGAGCACTACGGAGAATCGAGGGGTGCAATGACGGTCTTGTACTTTCTCTCGCTCACACTCCTCCCTTTCACGGCTGCTTCTCAGCATTCTTTCGGCGCTCAGACTCGGAGTTCATTGGCTAATCAGCCCTACGACTCCGGACTGTTCAGCCCTGTAGAGGACTTACACAATATCTCTCCGTCGCAATATACGATCCTGCAGCACCCAAGCTTCCCTGCGCACAGCGTCCGCATCAAAGAGAGCAAGTTTTGTGATGAGGAAGTACAGTGAGTCACAGTTCTTGTAGCGCTGCATAGGGGGCTCCTGCGCTTACATCGTAACACAGAGCATACACCGGGTACATTGACATTGAGGCTCGACACCTGTTCTTCTATTTCTTCGAAAGCCGACGCGATCCCGACTCTGACGATGTCATCTTTTGGACGAATGGCGGCCCTGGCTCGTCGTCATCATACGGCCTTTTCATGGAACTTGGTTCGACTTCATTGTCCTACTGGTCCGTAGCTGGCTGATCCATGATGATATCTGTGCTTTAGGACCATGCCGCGTGACTGGAGCAAATACAACAGCGCGCTTTGATTACTCCTGGAACGAGCATGCGAACATCTTCTTCATAGATCAACCCATCGGAGTTGGCTTTTCGTATGCGGACTACGGCGAACAAGTGGTATGTATGTCATCGAGGATTCAGCTGTATGAGAGTGCTCAATACGGCGGTCATCGCTTAGGACTCAACTTTGGAGGCGGCCAGGGACATAGCCGCATTCGTTGCCATCTTCTTTGAACACTTCACAAAGTTCAAGGGACGCCCATTCCACATGGCCGGCGAGTCGTACGCTGTAAGCACACCCCTGCGTGTACATGACTGTATCCGACGCTTGGCACATTCATAATAGCCTTCTAGGGACGTTACATCCCGGTATATGCCTCAGAAATATACGACCGCAACGCGGCGCTAGAGGAGGCGGACATGACTCCCATCAACCTAACCTCCATCATCATTGGCAAGTGGTGCCATATATAACTGAGGTGCATTTACTGAACGCGTGGTACCAGGCAATGGCCCACAAGATTTCTTCGAGATGATGTTGTCGCTCTATGAGCTCCAGTGTGGATACCATGGCTATCCCCCATTCAAGAGCATCTCGTGAGCTGCAGACCTTCTGTTCCATAGCCGTACGAAGCTCACTACTTTCCCAGAGAGTGTGTCCATCTGAAGCAGCTGGTCCCTCGATGCAGGAAGCGGGCACAGCAGTCTTGCAAGGACACTCTCGATATCCTTGATTGCTCCGCGGCGTGGGAGTTCTGTTGGGACACGTTCGCCGGTTGGATCGGAGGTCAGTCACGATCTCCTAAGCGCAGACATCGAGTTTGAATCGAACTGCTTTCAAAGAACGAAATCCATATGACTACCGGCGGCCCTGGTAAGCGGTTCATCCTCCAGTAACAACATATACTCAATTGCGATGGGCCGCTGCAGCACGGATGTCGGTGGAGATTCCGAAGCCTGCTACCCCTCACTCCAGTACGCTCTAATCAGATTCAACCTCTCTTCCTAGCTAATCTATGAGGCTACCAGAAACATCACTGTCTACCTGAACCAACCACACGTTCAGTCCATCCTCGGTATCGATCCTGGACACAGCAACTATACCTTAAACGACAATGCATTGAATGCGCGGTTCTCACCAGTGGATACCTTTGCTTTCAGGGCGGAGCATTATACGGAAGCACTGCTCGAGCGTGGAGTGCGTGCTCTTATCTATGCCGGCGACACCGACTATGTCGGGAACCACGTGAGCCGCCTTCATCCTCTCCGTTAACCTGTGAGCATTGCTAAACTGCTGCAGATCATGGTTGAAAGGGGCACTCTCAAGCTCGAATGGTCTGGTCAGGAAAGGTTTGCGAATACACCCCTGCGGGACTGGCTGGTCGACGGAGAGATCGCCGGCCGCACAAGGACTGAGGGCGTCCTCACATTCGCGACTGTCCACGACGCTGGTCATCTGGTGCGTATACTTCAGTCCTACTCGAAGGTTAGCACTAAATGTAGGGGCATCACCCGCAAATGATGTTAGGTGCCTTTTGACCAACCTAAACGCGCTCTGGAACTCGTGAACCGGTGGCTAGCAGGAGAGGCACTCTGACCGTCCGTGCGGTTTGGTCGTATTCACTTTTGGGAAGTTACTAGTAATGGTTCCAGTGGCCCTGCTTGTACAACGCTGCGTATCTTGACTTTAGCGAAGAAGCACTCCATCAATGTCAGGCCCCTGTTACTAGAGCATCCTCGAATTCCAGATACGACTCCCCGTCCAGCTGTGCAAGCACGGGAACACGCGGGACATCGATACCAAGGTCTCGGAAGACCTGCGCATGGCGACCCATGGAAGGGCTGATCTGCTGAAGAAATGCTTCAATCGTCTGCGGCTCAGCCTGGTCCGGAAGGGGCTGTCGGAGGGAGTTGACGGCGGTCCGCGGGACGAGTGACTCTATGGAGGTAAGCTCGTCTAGAGAGCGAATCACAATTGAGGTAGACTGTTGTGCGCACCTCGTTTTCCACGGTTTCCTTCAGCCTTGGTCGGGATGTCATTGAATATGATGGGCTCCTGCATGCTGAATGCTGGAGCCTGTTGCTGGAACCTGTTAGCTGAGATGATCAGTAGAGTTAGGCTTATATCGAGTGAAGCTGCTACGAATCTGAGGTGAAATGGCAATAGTCAGAAAGCTGAACTTTCGAAGGACGGTGTTCTGAGCCGAAGACGTTGCAGATGCACGTCACCTCAACGAGCACCTGCCCTCCAGAACAGTTTTATCTCATAAGATGAGACAGTGGCTTGTTTGTGAAATGGCCCGAGACAAGCAGAAGGCTGAAAATACCGACGAACGCAGCATCCCAGCTTGTGGCCGCTGGCAATGAGATGGGATCGGGTGGGGAGGCCGATCCCCGACGTCATCGGGATTCGGGTTGCCGCAGCGACTGTGGCGCGACTCTCGCGCAGTCCTCCGCTGCTGCACCGTTGCTGAACGGTTCGAGTCGCAGCGGTTGCCCTTCTTAGTGGACGACGCTCTGAGCTTGCTATACCTATCACTGCTTTATATCGCGCACCTCTTGGTCGTCCGCCCGACACCTGCTCCTAGGCCCATCTCTATTCCACTCGAGCTGCCGTACACTTGTTGATATGCTTCTCGACCTACCTCCTGAGCTACTATTGTATATACGTAAGTACATCTCCCACAACCGGTCGTGTCTACTGAGTTGAGCTCGGTTGAACTCGATTGACAGTGTCGTTTCTCGACCTCCCGGAGCTTGCGTCTCTGGCACAAGTCTTTCCAGAGCTCGCCCCTCTAGTTGACGACCCCCTTCTCCACCACGAACGCGTTTGGGTCATCGGTCCATCTCGCGTCTCTCATTCCCTCTTTGGCACTAATGCTCAAGGGCTGCCACTGAGGCCGTCAATTCCCGAGCTTGTACACAGGAACATCCTGCGCGGTCTGGGTATCGAGAGACGCTGGAGGGACGGGTTATATTTCGGTTCCCCAATTGTACGTCTAGTGCTGCGAAGTCTCCCGATTCCTGCTCCTGAGGGTCTGCACCAGATGGTGCGTCAGTACGAGAGCGCGACTCGCCTCCAATGGACGCACGCGCGCACCATCCTCGCGCGCTCGCTGCACACGCGCTCGTCGCCCGCAGTGCGCGAAGCGTTTTACCACACGCGGGTCCTCCCGCGCGACACGTCCTCGACGCACGTCGCCGCGCCGCTCGTCTCCGCCGTACGACGCCTGCGCTGGGCACTTCAGCGCGATCGGCTCGCGCACTTCGTCAAGGACAGGAGCGAGATGGCGAAGGACGGCGGGCTGATGAAGTGGTTGGAGGGTACCGGGCGCGCTGTCATGTTCAGGGAGAACGAGCGGGTGCGGCTGGCGGTGTGCCCGGGGATCAAGGGGATCGTGAGGTACTACGAGGGGCTTGCGCGGTGAGCGTTCGTCTTGCTGTAGCATGCGCCGTGCAGCGGCTAAGTTCCCTGTAACATCTTCTGGTTCGCGTTGAGATGGTGTTTGTCTCTTATGACGAGTTGTCCTTTCTCGTGTATACCCTTCATGCTACGTATATGACAGGAAGGAGGATTGGTTACTGTACCATAGTTGAACTCTTCGGACTACGGACTTTTTGTAGTAGCGAACAGATCGACGTCCATATATGCGCCTTCGCGTTATCTCAATTTGTCTCAACCTTCGTATTTTCCACGAACTGTTCCCATGCTGCGTCCACTATGCTTCTGACCTCCCTCACGCGTTCCTCGCTCGTCCGCCATATCCCCCACTCTCCATCTCCGCCGACTCCCATACCCATCTGGGGCCTTCGGAACTCCATCTCGCTTGCGACCCAGCTTCCCCCGCTCAGGTGCACCTCTCTCAGCCCGCACGGAAGCAGTTCCTTCAGGAGGGGACCAATCGTCTGTGCATTCACACCCGAGCCGACCAGGATTGTGGCTGAGGCTGGCATGTGAGAGGCTGTGCGTATCAAAGTTCGCAGCTTGGGGAGCGCAGCTGGCGACGGAGCTGTGGGAGCTTGTCCGCTCGTCAAGATGCGCGTTACTTGCGGTATCTTCGAGATGTCCAGGTGGGCTATATGCGAACCTCAGTGTGCAGGGTCGCAGGAATTCGCTTGCAATAGCGTACCTGTGAGGACGTCCTGGCTGCTCATGTCGAATGCCCTATGAAAGCAAACTGAATGTGGATGGGCCCAGCGACTTCTTGCATTGATGATGGGATGCAGGCGTACTTTGCATGTCTCCTGCCTCCTGTGCAAGCCTGTGACCCATCAACTGGACAGCTTGAGACCTCTCCAAAGCCTGCGGACTCACGATTGTGTGTGGTCCACATCGATCCGACCGTCCTTGTTGAGGATACCGAACACGACGCCATCCGCGCCGGCGTCTCTGAATGCCCGAATGTCTTCTTTCATGACTTCAAGCTCAGCTTCCGAGTAGAAGAAGTCGCCCGTCCGAGGTCGAACCATCACCTTGAGAGGCAATTAGCGTATGCAGATCCAGTGGACTCCGGGCGAATGGTGTGGACATACCATGATGGGAGTGCCGGGGATTGCTGCGCGCACTTGCTTGAAGAGGCCGATGCTGGGCGTGGTGCCCCCGCCTACCCCGAGATTGCCACAGAGCTCGAGGCGATCGGCTCGTCCGAGGTGTGCTCTGATCGACAAAGCGGATGAAAGAAGAGGATGATTGGTCGCAGCAAGAGTAACCCACGCGATGGCAGATTCCACGGAATCGATGCAGACTTCAATGGTGAGGGATTGAGGGGACGTAGACCTTTGCTAATCTCTTGAGACACGGTAGGCAGCGCACTGTCAAGAAGCTGAGTACCTACGATATTGTCGGAGACAGGCTTGAGGACGTTCTGCGATCTGTTGGTTGGGACGCTATGATGGCGGGAAAGGAGACGGTGCAGACATACCACGACGGCCTCACGGCGGGCAAAGCGCCAGGCTCCAAGCAGGGAAATCTGTGCGGCATTTATGGGCAACGCAACCTGACCCTAGCATTTCTAGAGGGCCTTTGTATCCCTCTTTGTGATTTGGGAAATCTTATGGGCACGTTGCATCGCCCGTATATTTGACATAGATTTCCTCACCTGAACCATCGCGCTTTGCCTGCCGTGCCTCGCGCTACGGTCGCGGCCACGTGACCATGTTGACAACACAGCCATCGCGTCAGAGAACGGCTCTGTAGAAGTGGAGACCGCGCGACGCCGCTGTCAGCACACACGCTCGACGCCCGCTCTGCGACCGTTACGGGACACCCATCTCCTTCTTCCCACCCGACCTGATATGCGGCCGCAACCCCAACCTGCTGCTCTCTCCCCAACCACCATCACTGCGACCCTCCGACGACCTGGACGACTATGGGCGCAAGCACTGACTCGGATCCAATGAAGCCCGGCTCGAACGCCCCTCGCGAAGGCATCTGGTGGTCTAACGGGTTGTTTTTCGTCGCCACGCATATCGCCGCGGCCCTAGGCGTCTGGTATCACCCGCCGGCACGGGCAATGCCCCAGTCTCTTTGGCTCGCGGTCTTCCTGTGGCAGGCGGCGTCCATGGGGTGAATTTGCAGTCGCTATATGCGCTCCAGTTGGGCTCTAATGCTCCGCAGAGTCACTGTCGGTTATCACCGACTCTATTCGCATCGCGCCTTCCGCGCGACGCTCCTTGTCCGGTCGATTTTGGCGCTGCTGGGAGCAAGCGCCTTCCAGGGGTCCATCAAGGTATGTTGGCAGCGCATAGAGCGTGGTACGTAAGCGTAACCGGGAACTTGACATGTCACACATGGACGTCGCGGCAACTTGCAGTGGTGGTACGCCAGTTTCCTGTTTTGGGATAGTCCGCGACATTGACTGCTGTAGGTGCTTGAGACATAGACTGCATCATGTACGTACACTCGATACCGAGTTCAATGGAGCGTGCTCATAAATCACCGGCATTACAGAGGTTCACAGACGACCCTCTTCATGACCCGTAAGCGACTCGCATCGGATCGAAAAGTGACGATGACGCGGACGTGTTGCCAGGTACGCTGCTACGAGGGGTCTCTTCTGGAGTCACATGGGATGGATATTCTTCAAGTCGCAATATGAGCGGATGAAGACAATCGAGCGCGATGATTTGGAGAAAGACCCAGGTACGTCGCATCTGGAAAGGTTCTACTAGGCTCGAGCCTCAAGGGTCTTGGCTCGGGATGAGCGGATTTGGTTACTCTAGAGCACGAGCGGGACAATTGGATCTGGCTCAGGTTGTGTGCAGTCCGAAAACAAGTCCACGGCTGCGTCTGCTTGGGCTTGCGAACTATGCGCTTTTCCACTTTCTATCCGAAGTGCGAGTTGCTTCGGCGAGAGGGTCTGGAAGAGTATGTTTCGTACTGCTGAGGTGGTTGAATACGACGGTGCCGTGGATGGACTGTTGAGCGCCCCCCGGTGTGGGTCACGTATCTCGTTTCAGCTCATCGCTCGCCTCTTCGCTTGCTGTATCCCAAGGAGTCCATTGGCGGCTTGCAGACTTCGTGTCATGCATCAGAAACGGAGACGCAAGTAGAACGGGTATGTGAAGCCTATTCGTCCAACGCGATTTGGGGCCGGGCTTGAACACACCTCTGCTCATCGTGCGTCCACTTCTGTGCCGAACAGCCTTCCACTTGCGGATAAATCTGGCTCCGGGCGGGTCTCGTCCCTTTCGGACTCGAGGCTCCAGATGCTTGAGTCCGTACGCGGACAGGTCATGTACCATGCCCCTCAGGGTCTGGCAAACATCCTCTTTTCTCTCGCTTTTCCTTGCATGCGCATTGGCTAACAGCCCCGGTGACAGTGGTTCAATTTCAGCACCAATACTACGGTCAGCAGACATCGATCGTTTCTGTGTGAAACCGAAGCTGAGGCACGTTGCAGTTCCTCTCGCGCTCATTACGGGCTTCATCGCCCCACCGGCAATTGGGCTCGCGTGGGGGGACCCTCTCGGCGCCTTCGTGTATGCGGGACTCGTTTCGAGGTTGCTGAGTATGTTGCCGAGCCAATGTCTCTGATGCCGAGCTGATGCCCTGCAGTCTGGCATTGCACCTTCCTTGTAAATTCGTGAGCTCTCGCCGGCAACGTCTAAGGGCTGCTTCCCTGCTGACCTCTAGCTTGACAAGGCTCGCCCATTGGGACGGACTGCAGCCGTACTCCGATGATAACACCTCCAAGTCCAATCTGGTACACTCTTCTTCCGATACTCGTATCAACACCAAGTTGAGTCACAACCAACATCTGTACTTTAGGTTCTTGCCCTTTTGACATGCGGGGAAGGGAACCACAACTTCGTACGTCCTCCGCTTGCTCGTGATAGGCTGGGCTCCTCATGTTCTTCCCCCGGTTCTCTTCGGACCAGCATGTAAGCCCTTCTTGTCCATCCGCTATGTAGTGCGGGAACTATAACGCCACATCTCATTTTATTTCCCCCCTTCTTCGATTTGATCTCTTCGCGTCTTCCAGCACAGTTTTCCACACGACTTCCGATCAGGTCCGTCGCCGTTCGACTGGGACCCGTCCAAGTGGGCTATCATTTTGCTCCATCGCCTCGGGCTTGCCTCGGGTCTCCGGCGGGCACGTGTAGACGAGATCAAAGCAGCGAGGGACTACATGCGTCAGAAAGAGGAGTATGGATCTTCCTCGCAGTACGATCCTTTGTCGATTTCGGAGACATCATCCACCCCCGGTAACACCGATTACGAGAGTGACCAGTGGGACGGCGAGTATTGGACTCGAAAGCGAGCCATCGAGTACGCGACGCAGCAGAGCCGTTGTGTCATCGTGCTCGGCGGCTATGCGGTCGACGTGACTCGGTATCTTACTGAACATGTACGTCTTTTCCCTTGGGGACCTCCCACGCCAGCTCACGCGGTCGACAGCCCGGTGGAGCGGCCCTTCTGCGACGATACGCGGTCGGCAAGATGGATGACGATGCAATGGGAAAAGACGCGGGGCAAGACGCGGACTGGGCCTTCCATGGAGGCATCAACAAACATTCTCAGGCAGCGATGAGGCGCATGCGCAAGCTCCGTGTGGCAAAGATACAATGAAAATCCGCATCATGTATCGGGCAGGCAAACGCATACATGGACTAGACATAGGGTATAACATAGACGGCCTTTGCCATGGGGTGGTATGTGAGCTCGTGGAGGGCTATGGGTTATCGATACGGTCTGTGTGTATTGATTACATCTCCAATACAGTCGTAGAGTACATGATGTACCGCACTCACGACCTTCCATGTCCAGACACTCTCGGCTGACAGCCACGTCCGCGTATGTCGCGGGAGGATGCGGTTTCGCCCATTCAACTGCCTGGCGGTTGATGGCTGATAGTAGCCGCGTGTACGCCCAGAAGCACGGGACGCACGCCGAGCTGGCCGCCCTTCTCTCGTCGAGTTGGATGTTGGAGGGTTTCCGACCGATAGCTCACGCGGGGCATCGGATCGGGACTAGGCCGTTAAGGGGTACGCCATGTGCTGCTGGAATGCGGAAAAGTCGTCTTCTCCATCCTTGACCCGCGGGCGGTGGTGAAGCGACGCATTTGGGCGACTGCCAGGCCGAAATATATCGCAAGCTCTCAGGGCGTTGCTACGACATCCATACGCCACTCATCTGCTTCGTACCTAGAGGTAAGGTATCGTGAGTCCTCTGGACCCGAGCAGGAATTTCATCCTATCGACGTTGCCAGAAGGATAACCCGATTCAGAATCTATTTCACCATTCGAGTGTGGGTACCGCTAAGCGACACAGCAGCCACAAGAATGTTGCGCTCAATAGATAGGAGAAGGAGAAGTTGTTTCAAGTCGACACACTCTACGGCCTCGGACGTGACTAGGACCCAGCCCGACTCCTCCCAAGGGCGTTTCCGGGCGCCGAGTCGGTGAGTGGCGTGAGGGATGACGCGAGCAGTTTCGGCTACTCTCGAGCTGCGCTCATGCGCGCCGCTGTCAACCACAGCGTGATCCGGACGACCTACTCATGCATACGAACGCAGACGATCGTCTGCTTCAACTCATCGTCGGGGTCAAGATGGCACGCCGAAGGAGATCCGCCCATGCAGGATTGGTCAGTTGCTTGCTAGGCTTCAGAGGGTCCTCCCGACTTGCGAGGTTCGTTCCCAAGCTTGGAGCACACGAGGTGAGCCGGACCCTAGTCGCTATACTGATGGCGCGGTACTGACCCCGGTTTTCCGCACTATGTGCGTAAGGCCAGGCCGGACTCGGTTGAAGGCGCCCGGCCAGGAGCGGCCACATGCAGCTTAGATCAGCGGTCCTCACAAAAGCCGCATAAGCAGAGACGAGGGCGTACGACGGTTGCGAACGAGACAGAAGATCTAGTATGTACGTTACACTAGCGCTTATCCTGACTTCTCACAGATAGAACATGTACTCATCGGCGACTTTCCTCCCACAATCGCTCGCCGTCCCGGACGAAGGGCTGTGGGAAGCTTGGCATCGCTTCTAAACACGATAGGCCCTCTCAAGAAAACACGCTCAGGTCGGTCAGAGAGCCGACCCAGATGTAAGCCCGATTCCCAACTCACGACGCCCAAGAGCATCATCTTGAGCGCGCCTTGGTCCCCTGCTCAGTTGGGTTCCAGCGGGTCAGACCAACCTCATTGGGCTCGCAGACCTTTCGGCTGCTCATCGGCTTGAACGTGTTTGTTTCAAGAGGGTCCATCGTTTGAAGGCGCTGTAATGTTCCCCTTCGCAGTTAGCGTACGGCAGCCGAGGTACGCGAGAGTCGTACATAGGCGCAGATCCCACGATGGCTATCTCTTCTGTTATCAGATGAGTGTTGGTCAATAGGAACGCGCGGAATTGGTCTCCAGGTTGTCATCTCCTTGACCTCAGCCATACCAGCTGCATGCGGCCAGTGCGACGCTGTAGTGGACGTCAACGGACGCAAGGTAGGTAGCCGAATTCACTTCTTTGGATAGACCGGCCACTTAGTAGAGTTCTGTCAAGATGACCGAATCGCTGTAGCCGCGGTTAGCCCACTGTTACATAAGAAGCTATAGCCTGGGGGCTTCCACACCGGTCAATTTCTCAAGCGACTGCCGTGCTCCGACGGGACAACGGCAGTAAGTCACCGGATCCAAGACAGCGGAACGGAAGTGTGGAGAGACTCCGTCGCTCCCGAGCGGCTGCCGTTCTCCTGCCCTTTCTGCCCGAGAGGCACGGCTGCGGATTGGTGAGATGTAGGTAACACGTATCGGATTGAGCAGGACCCCTTCTGCATATTGCGCTACAGATGCTACTAGGGGGCCGGCGAAGCTTTCAAACACCTTGCAGGCGCGCTGCTTGACCCTGGGTGCCCCTTTGGCCGTCAAGCGTTCTGGCCATGGGGAGAGCCCTTCTCCGGGACTCTTAGGACGTCACTTCGGCATTGTGATTTGTCTCCGGCTGCATAAACGATGGATGCTTGTACCCAGCTTGATAACCGAGAGATCATTGGTCGCCGCGCGCTCGGACAACACGGGATTCATATAGCATACATCTTCGTATAAGAGCCAGCAAGACGGACCTCTCTCCACTAGGCCGCCAAGACCACTACGATGCCGATGTTCCCTCTAGCTAACGAGCGTGCACTGCTTACTATCGCCGGGGTCGCTCTGGTGAGTGAACCTTCTCATGTTCCGTGCATGTTATAGACGAGTGAGGGGCCATCTAGATCGTTCATTTCGTCTTCAAGCGATATGAGCCGCATCGTCTGACAGTTCATGCACTGCTGTTGCTCGCTACACCTTCTTTACTCGTTCTGCCTCTACTCGATCACCTCCCAGCTACCAAAGCGGTCCCGGTGGCTTTAGTCACATTCTGGATCACGCTTATATGCTCCGTTGCACTCTATCGTCTTTCCCCTTGGCACCCACTCGCACGCTACCCAGGACCCCTCTTACTGAGGTTATCCAAGTTGCGTATGGCATGGATCTCGCGAGCAGGGAGGCGCCACATATACACTCAAGGGCTTCATCGACGGTACGGGGACATCGTCAGGGTCGGTGAGTGACCTCATAGCCCCAGTCAGGGGCGACGAGCACATCGAAATAACCCCTCCCGGTATGCAGGCCCGAACGAAGTGTCGATAAATAACCCCGCGGCCATCCAAGCTTTCATGGGAACCTCGGGTTTACACAAAGGTCCGCGTGAGTGCTCACCTGCTGCTTCTAACCGATTGATGTAGCAATGCTGATCCCTACTGCGGCGCAGAGTGGCATGCGCGAACGGCAACACAGAGCGTCCAGCCTCTTATCGCCATCAGTGACCCGAAGGAGCACTTGCGTCGCCGGAAGCCGTGGAACCGTGCCCTGAACGTGGCAAGCCTGAAAGATTTGGAGCCATTCGTCGCAGCCCGCGCCGAACAGCTCGTCAGCCGGCTTGCTGCTTCTCAAAGCCAAAACCCAAGCTCAAAGCCTCCGACGAACCTTGCGAAATGGTTCAGCTGGTTTGCGTGAGTGTTCAGTAGGCTGAATTGCAGGGTCCCATCGCTTGCCGCTGTCGATTGAGGTTATGCGAACGCAGCGTGCTGACGAGTAAATTTGACAGGTACGACCTGATGAGCGACATGGCGTGAGTACTTCCCCGCTTCATACGAGGCATTGTGTGGATTTTCAATACCGGACGGGGTCCCGTGTCCGTCTAGATTCGGCGGTGGGTCCGAGATGCTGCTCAATGGGGACGAGGGCAGCGTCTGGTCCTTGCTGGAAGTAGGCCTGGTGTGAGTGCATTAGGTCACGTTCGCTGAGCCTCACATCTTGACGTTGCGGCGGATAGGAACTCCGACACTTTTGGTCATCTCCCATGGATGGCCGATTACATCCGCACGTTCCCTGGCCTTGGAGCGAAAATGAAGGAGATGCGTAGCTTCTGCATCCAGCGCACCTTGGAGCGTGTCAAACTAGGGAATACTTCCCGGAAAGATTTATTCTACTATCTTGTAAGCGTCTCACCGCTAGTTTTCCATGTGTTGAGCTCTCCGACTGAGCGGTGTGCAGAACAACGAGGACGGGTTCGAACATCCGCGACCGCTTCCAGAGGTTGTAGCCGACGGGACTCTGGCCATAGTAGCAGGCTCAGACACTACCTCAAGCGTCCTCTCAAACATCTTCTACTGTCTGCTCACGCACCCAGAAGCATACACCCGACTTAGAGCGGAAGTCGATTCCTATTACCCATCGGGGGAAGACGCCCTGAACACGAAGCATCATGCGAATATGCCGTATCTGAATGCGGTCATGTAGGTTCTTTCAGGGCGGCCAAGCCACCACGATGTCTGCTGACCGTGCACATCCTAGCAATGAGGCGATGCGTCTCTTCCCACCCGTAAGCGACGGGAGCCAACGTGTCGTACCAATTGGTAGCGGGGGAAAAATACTGGAAGACAGGTCAGCGCCTTCCATTGAAAGTGTCATCTATGTCGATGTCGTCGCTGACATTACAGACGTCCGTAGTTATCTTCCAGAAGGGACAATAACTACGGTGCACATGTATAGTATACACAGGGACAGTCGCAATTTCTCGCCCCTGCCAGATAGCTTCTGGCCGGAGCGTTGGATCCATGCGGCAGCGGACGACAAGAGCGTCATTGGGATGAAGCTTGTGCACAACACTGCCGCCTTTTTCCCGTTCTCGTTCGGACCCGGTAATTGCCCGGGCAAGGGCCTCGCGATGCAGGAGTTGCGCATGGTGGTCAGCGGGATCATCCAGCGGGTCGACCTGAGCTTGGACAACAGCTTCGACCCAGTCGCGTACGAGAACGGGCTGCTGGATTACTTCATCTTGACTCGACCGCCGCTGCCGGTCATTGTTAGGCAGCGAGAGCACAAACAGACAACTTTGCAGTAGTGTGTGTACGCCGATGATTCATATAACTATTTCTACTTTATCGTACGTATATAGTGTAAATGTAGCCTGAGACCACCACTTTTCCCGTGCATTAGATCCTTGAAGCTTGCAAGTAAGGAAAGCGCAAATCGTTCCTTGGTTCACTTGGGCAAGGACGACACGGCTGTAGTGGATCACGTGACGCGTTTACGGGATCGGAGCGGTTGAGCCCAACGGCTGGCCCGAGCTGTCCCCCCGAGACGGTCTCGCGCACTGGGGCCCTCCTGCTCGTACTGGACTTCGTACAACCAGCTTTCCCGCATTGTCGCAGCACGAGTACGATGTCGAAGAGGGAGGCCAGGAGTTTTGCCGCCACAGGAGTGGACGTCGACGCACCGCGCGCCAAACGTCGGAAGGAGGCCCCAGCCACGAGTAGCACAAGTCCGGAGCACAAGCATGACGCCAAGGAGCACACGCCCACCGGAGATGCAAAGGGAGACCTTGAGAACGTAGGATCGGTGGCTGAGGACAAGGACGAGGTGAGGGAGAAGGGGCTGCAGCTGTGGCAGGCGTTGAAGGACGCAGTCAACAAGGAGTGCGTGATGGTTCAGTTACATCTCGCATATAACGACCCTAACGTCCAACTCCTCCTTTGACGCCGCCATCACGTCCTCATCGTACTCCATGTCTCACCACATATTCTCAGAGGCCAAATTGCCTCTTTTCAGTTCATGCGTCTTCCCTCGAAACGACAATACCCAGACTATTACGCGCAGATAAAACGGCCCGTAGCTCTGGACGATATCAAGGCGAAGCTTGATGCAAGAGAATACCAGACCCTCGATGCCGTCCGGCAGGACTTCGAAACATGTTTCCGCAACGCCAAGCGTTACAACATGAAGGAAAGCCAAATATTCAAGGACGCCAAATTTTTGCATGTGAGCACTGTTGCCTGGAGAGCTTGGAGCCTCAGATGCATCATATATATGTCTTTCTCCGCCTCACTTCCAATTGCTGCATGTTGCTCAACACATGTTCCCCATGGACAGAAATCGCTATCCAAAGAGTATAATCGTATCGCTGGCAACGAGGAAGAAAATCGCGACGGCGAAGGCTCGGACGATGAGAGGAAGAAAGCTCCTAATCTTTATCGTCTCCTCAAAACAAAGTTGCAGAAGCTGGTGGACAAGACGGATGACAAGTAGGTGCCGTTGTAAGCTGCTAAGTACTGACGGGCTGACCATTTGTCGCAGGGGCCGCGTGCTATCGGCCGAGTTCATGGAGTTGCCTAGCCGCAAACAGTGGCCCATGTACTACACCATAATCAAGAAGCCTCAGAGTCTAGAGAACGTCTTCGTAAGCATCTCGTGCGTGATTCTATGTCACTTCTTGACAAGTTTCTCTGTCTTTTCAGAAAAAGTTGAAGCGGAAAGAATATCATAGGCCGTTCGACTTTGCCAACGATGTTGAGTTGGTGTTCTCAAATGCGTTGGAATTCAATCAGGAGCACACTCAAATATGGGAAGATGCGACGGCATTACGGGTATGTCTCTGACGTACATGTTAAGTGTGATTCCCTTGATGACGGCCGCCTCATGCTCTATAGGATTATTTCAGAAAGCTGATGGCCGATCTCCCTGAACCTTTCTCAATACCCGCATATGCCAACGCCGGTGAGCACCCGACTAAGATTAAGCTCAAGATGCCACAAGCTCCTGCCCCTGCCAAACCAACCGCAGCCCCCGCTCCCTCGCTTCCGTCCACAAATTCGATTGTAGTTGGCCGTTCTCACGCAGCCTCCTCCTCGAACCTCCAAGCACAAACAAAGCAGGATGTCAAACCAGCTGATGCAGGGCCGTCCGTGCGCATTCCTGCGAATCCCGTCAAGTCCCCGCCTGTAGCGCCTGTGATCGCACCCACACCCGTGCCTCCGCCCGTCCGTGCAATCTCCTCTCAAGCCCCTTCTTCCTCGAATGCCGTCCGCGCAACCGCTCTTTCTCCAGCAAACCCATTGCCGTCCATCGCAAGCTCCGCTCAGCCGGCCGGCTACCCACAAGCAAACGGCGCAGGCATCTATCTTCCCAACTCTGGCTACCAGCAACCCAGTCTGGTCCCGGCCCCTCCCAAGGCGCCTTCTAAGTCGCCTGCTCTCCTAAACACCGGCGCGCTCACAGTCGCTGATTCAACCCCGTCCGCCGCCGCTTCCCTACAATCGCTCCCAGCTGTCAATCAGTACGCACACTCGCTGAAGCATGCCGTCATCACGACGATGCCTGCGTACCGGCGGCTCGTTCTCGATCACTCAGACGGAGTTAGGACGTGGGCGATGCGGCTGGACGGGCCGGAGGCGACCATCGTCATCTCGGACGTGACGTTCGTGACGCACGACGATCATGAGGCTGAGAGCGACGAGGACGCGGCCGTACCACAGGAGGAAGAGGAGGAGGAAGAAGAGGAGGAACCCACCTCGCCGTCGAAGCGCAAGGCTGCAACTCGGTCGCCGCGCAAGCGGACGCGGTCTGCGCGGATAGCGAAGAAGGCGAAGGGGAAGGCGTCCGATTCGCAGCCTGGACCTATCCAGGTCAAGCTCAACGGGGTCCTTCTCACAGAGACCGAGGCCAGCACGTGGGAGACGCCTGTCCTTCCCGGCCTGAACATGCTGGAGGTGGGCGAGAAGGGCGGGATGGTGTGGAGAGTTTACTTAGATAGACCTGCCTATTAGTGATCGTCTAATGTCTTCCAGTCTACACTCTGTGGGATATCCCGTCTTCCGTATCGGACATTATTTGTCTCTTGTTTTGTGTGTTGTCTGTTCTGTCGGAGTCCCTTTCGTTGTCCTCTTCTCATGTAGTACTCGTCTCGCGTACGGTGTACAGCTATCTATTATGTGTATGTATAGCGGAATAATACCGATTGTCCATAGTGTCCGACTCATCGAGAACACACCTCTAATGTCAATGATAGATAACCATAACGCGATGTATAGATGTGCACGCAGTGACAACCAAAGCGCTATGCGCTAGTCGCGCGCCACCGCTCGAGCTTCTCAGCCAAGGGGATCTGCTCGTCTTCCGCCTCCGGCCCGCTCTCCGGCTCGCTGGGCGGGTCCGGGACGTACAGCTGGTACCGCCCAGGCTCCGCCGTCCGGTCCACGATGTACTGCTTGAGCAGCTCCTCCCTGTCGATCGGGCGAACCTCGTACCCCTCCGAGCCCCGCCTCAGGAACTCTCGCCGACGTCCCGGGTGCTCGTCCGCGTACTGCTCGTCCTCGTCCTCGGAGTCGACGGGGTATGTCTCGTGGCTCTCCTGTCGGTGGTAGTCGGGATGGTACGGCGGGACGGAGGCGTAGGGACCTTCGGCGGCCTTGGCGCGGGCGCGAGCGGGGTTGCGCCTACGTGCCGTGCCGGTGGTTGTGGGCCGGAGGTCGGGGTTCACGGAACCGTTGGCATACGTCCAGGGCGAGGCGGGGAGCTCGAGCTTGTGGTCTGGGTCGTCTTCGGGGTATAGGTAACGGTCGGGATCTTGGGGCGGCCACTGGCCGACGTCCACACCTGTCGTGCGGGTCAGCGTCTGTCATAGGCCACAAGAGAGGACATGAGCGGAGCCGGTAGCGGAAGAACGGGGGCGAGGCGCGAAGAAAATATGGCTACAAGGTGTCGAATGAGTGCTTACTTCGTGAAGCGATTCGCGATGGTTGCACACCTGGCTCGTGTCGGTCGGTCGTAACATGTCGTCGTCAAGTCGTCAAGGTTCGGGCAAGTAGTCGCCGTCTACGCCATACGCCTCGTCCTCGCCGTCCTCGCCCCGCGGTCTCCGCATCGTAAACTCAATCCACTTACCGTCGCCGTCCGCGAGCTGGTACTTCAGCCCGTTCCCGGGCGGGACGGTCGGCCAGCACCACAGGAGCGGGTTCGAGCCTAGAATGCTTTCGATGTTCCGACGTAGGCCGAGGTTCTACACGTAACTATGAGAAATTGGGAGGAGTCTCGTGCTCTAAGTAACCTTACGTAGGGGAACTTGACCTGCAATTCGTAACGGGGGTCAGTGGAAGTTGAAGGGAAGCAGCGGCACAGAGAGGGGAACGTACCTCGCGTATCCTACCACGGCGGACTAGAGTGGCCACCTTATCTTTCTCCCATCCCTCGATGGTCGTGGTATTGCTGTATACCGCGTAGAAGTGATAGAGGCTAGCGCGGCAGATATCAGTTGATGCGATGAACGCAAGAACGATGGCACTACCTGAAGATGCCAACTGCAAGCAGTACAGGTATGCACGTTGCGTAATTCAGAACTATGAATATCAGCTCGCGCCCGCTGGGTTCCTCCTGTGATCTCTTGAGAACAGGAGGGCACAAATGCGGCGAGAGGCGTACCCAGAATGTCGTGCTATACAGCACTCGCTTGGTGAGCATGGTCACATGGTATGTGCATGCGAGGTCGACGTAGAAGAGGAAGCGGATGAAGTGTCCGTAGTTGTAATGACCGACGCAGTTGTTCACCCATGGGCAGTGGTGGTCTGGTGCCAACTTTGAGCAACGGAATCAAAACGTAAATAGCAGGTCATACCCATTCTGAGCACACATCTAGTAGATTCCCATGAGGAGAGAGCGTCGCGCGAAGATTGCTAGACGCACCGTTTACACTGCCTGCAATGGTGAGCCCGTGGTGGCTTGTAGTTCTCGCATGTCCGGCAGTACCGCGGCCCTCTGGTCAACTTCTTGACTTCATAGCCGTCCATATCATTCAAGTCAGGTCTCTGAGCAATCGTTTAGAGTGTGTCACGTTGCTGCAGGTTTACGCAATAGACGTACCCAAGACGATGGCACGCCTCCCGGATCGGTTATTACACACAGTCGGTAATTCCACAGCAGCATGCCCACCAAGATACTATCGCCTCGGAGTCAGATAGGATCAGTCGTGGAGATTCTCGGACTCACTTGAACGGTAGTAGGAGCCCCAGCAGCTCCACAGAGAACTCCCGGCCGTACCAAGGCCATATTACGAATATCTGGCTTGAGTACGCAATGAAGCAGATGAGACACGTCGTGAATAGCACAAACAACCGTCCGGTGAGGCGGCCCATGACAGACCGAGACTAGAGGGGCGGATAGCAGAGACAATAGCAAGAAGAAGAGGCAGCGCAGGGTGTATAACTATAAGCAAGCTGGGTGTGCGCTGCCTCGTCCGACGAGATGACCGTCTCCGCGTCTGCGGCCGGGAGCAGTCCGGACGCGCATCGCGGCGAGCGCTTTCGGTCCGCTCTGTACATCCCGTCCAGCACACCGACGACCATCTGTGTCCTGCGGACGCTCTTGGGCCATGCTCATCCGTCTGTCCTCTTCACTGCCCTCTACTGCGGCCTTCGTATCCAGAACTGCGGTTCCGTCTGCGCGAAGCATTCCTTCATGCGCGCGATTCAACTCTTCGGAAGCAGCAGCAGCACCTCAGCAGACGCAAGCGAGCTCTGACGGACAACCCGAAGCTGCACCCGCCCCCAAAAAGAGGGCAATACCTCTCGCGGAGAGCCTGGGGAATATATCTGTTTGTGAGTTACTATCTCAGTACACGCAAGCACACCTCTCTAAGTGGTGAACACCCCTCAGTGAAGAAAAAGGGTCAGAAATGGAATCGCGGACCAAGGCCGCAGCCTCGGGAGGGGGAGGGCGGCGTAGAGGTGCAGCAGCAGCAGCAGCAGCAGCAGTATCAACGACCACGTTCGCTCCGCCCGAATAACGGTCCCCGTCGTGACGGGCAGGCGTACTCTGGTCCCCGCCCACAACAAGACCGCCCGCGGAACAGAGACCAGCAAGGCCGACCTGCCTACGCCAGGCCACGCCCAGTATCCCCGCGCCAGTGGGGTCAGCAGGATGCTGCATCCGCCGAGTCGCAGGAAAGCAAGGACGTTGCGAAGCCGTGCTCTGCCCCCTCGTCCTCGAAGCTGCAGCCGAAAGTGCTACTTGGCGACCTCAAGGAGCTCTTTGGGCCCCCCGCTGCGCACACGCGCTCTCCCATCGCATCCGCTCCCTCAGCGAAGAACGTCACTCCTTCCCAAGCTCGCGTTCAATTGCTCTTGGAGAAGGCCGCCGGGGACTATTCTCGCTATGCGCCGAAGCCCTACCTCACAACCGACGTCGGGAAGCTGGGGCCTCTGAAGCTTGCAGAGTTCACCTTGAGCCATAACCGGGCAGTCCCGCCTAAGAGGCGCAGTGACGCGCTGACGGTGGTAGAGAAGTTTGTTGGCAAGAGCGCTCCGCAGGTGTCTGCGTGAACGGCTCAGATGGGGTATTAGCAGCCTGGGTTGGTACATACGCTATACATACGCTACGACGGGAAAATAACGGTTAATGGCTATACGACCTATCTGAGAGGAGAAGCGCGTCGTGCAGACAGACTATGTTCCGGAGTCATCAATGGACGATTCGTCTTCTCCATGCTCGTTGTGCGTAGAATACGACCCCTCGCGATCACCGTGATGGCCGCCCGCCTGGCTCGCGCTCTCGTCCACCAGAACCCACTCGGGGATCTCGAAGTCGCGCACCTCCTCGATCTCCTGCGGTACGCGGCACCCGAACGCGGTGACGTGCCTCTGCGTCTTGCGCGCCGTCGGCGCGCTCGACTGGCGCAGCGCGGCAACCATGAGCACGCACGGGTTCGCGTCCTTCTTGCCCGCGAGGCCTGCATATGACGTGTAAGATCTCCTGGCCGAGTATGCACTAGCGCTAGTGATAGTGGGCGAGGGCCTACCCGCTGATGAAGCAGTGCGCGACTCTGCGCTGTGGGTGTGTCGTTTGTCTATGCCGTTGGCCGCTTTCGGGGCCTTCGACCACTTTGAGCTTTGGGCGGATTTTGCCGCCTTGATGGCTGCGGAAGCGGATTCGTCGTGTATGCGTTGTCGCTTGGCAGATGGTGGTGGAGGGAGGGCGTCTTCGGGGTCCTCTGAGTATCGACCGTACTTGTCCGTGGGTACGTACGACGCTGAACGTAGAGGGGAGCTTGTCGTATGGCCTTTGCCACCAGACGTATGCTTGAAGAAGGGAGATAGTGTGATCTGCTTCCCGCCTCCTCGTGTTGGGAGTGGATTGGGAGACTGCCGCTTGGAGGAGAGCATCCGTGGAGGGAACTTGATGCGTAGCTTGAGCTGCTTCGACTTGCGCCGATCGCTCTCGTCGGGGTCGACTTCGGACTCGCCATCGTCGTCCGCCTCGTCCTCGATGAGTTCATCCTCTTCCTCCATCTCCTCTTCCCCAGCGTCTTCTTCCACTTCCTCCTTTTCAGGTAGTTCTTCCACACCCGCGTCCTCCTCAACCTCCACGGTATCGTCCTCGTGCTTGACCTCAACGACCTCCACCGAAGCGCCCTTGCCCTTCGGCGTCCCCTTCTTCTCCATCCACCGTCGATCCGGCGGCAGGAGCGTCCGGTACCGCTCCTCCAGCGACATCGCGACATCCAACATCACTTTCCGCCTCCGCTCGCCCTCGTGGTATGCCGCAGCCCCGTGGAGGTTCGCCGCGTCCCCACTAGCAGCAGCCGCCGCCGCTTCGGGCCCGCAGCCCGGGGTGTCCGCGAACTCAGAGGCGGGGATGGCGAGGAACGCAGAAGAGTCCATGGCGCGGAGCTGCTCGATGCGCTCCTTGAGCTTGTAGTGCTCGTGCTTGAGCTTCTCCTTCTCGCGCAGGCGCTGCCGCTTTTCAAATGTCTCGTACTTGCGGTGGCGCTTCTCGTACGCCGCGTCAGACGTGTCTGCCGTGTCCTACGTATTGACGCAGTAGTTCAAAGTCACAAGGTTCAGGGCGCACGACATCCATTGCAGCAGCAAAAGTAGATAGACACATGTGAGTACGCGCATGTACGCAAAGGGGGAGGGGACGAACGTCTTCCGAGTTCCGCGGGCGGAAGCGGCCACCAACGTGCGCATCCTGGGGAAGCTCCGTGAACTCTGGGGTCTGGATGAGCTGCTGCTCCATATACGCCTTGCGCACTTCCGGCCGGTCGAAGTAGCGGCTGTACGCGAGCGTGTTGAGTTGCGCGTGGGCCGCCTCGGACGTCGATGCGCCTGCGTCGGAGGCGAGAGAGGAGATGAGCGTGGAGTTGGTCGTCAACAAGAAGGGCGTCGTTGCTGGGATGAGGGGCTCGCTCTCAACTGCGCGCACGGATGTGAGCGAAGGCACACCATAGGTACGAAAGTAGTGGAAGACGAGGGCATCGTAGGCAACGCAAACGGACACGAATGGTTGGATGAAGGACAGGACAAGTTAAACGGACAGGGGAAGGGGGAGACGTACACCTGCGCTTCATCGTCTCCAGGATCATTAAATCGCTTTCGCAGCTCCCCACTCCAGGCCCGCCGCGTCGCGTGCGCGCGGGAAGCACGCGTCGTTGTCGCGTCGAAATGCTCTCCGCTGGGCCCGCCACTGGTGGTTGACCATCCGCCCTTCCCCCGGGAGCGGCTGGTGGAGGAGGCGCGGGAGACGACGAGGAAGCTGTTGGCTGCTGGCTGCTTCCCGAGCGCGACTTGCTGGCCGCGGCCTTCCCATTGCGAGCGCCGACCATGACTGAGTGTTTAGAAGGACGGTCAAGGTCTACTGGGAGATGGGAGCTGTGGCCGAGCTCAGCGGCGGTGACTTGAAATGCGGCTCGGCGGGACCGTCCTAGGGTTGGCGCTCGAACAATGAGAAGCGTACGTCCCAAATCCGGATTGTTAAGAGGCCATCGCCATTGAATACTCAACGCCAAGCGCTTGAGGCCGTACGGTTGAACGTCAAGACAGTGAATGCGTACGAGACAAATAGTAGACACATATGCTGAAAGACAACAAATCTGTATGCGATAGCGTAGAATGTCAAGCAATTTGGTTTCCGCCTTCGTGATGCGGAGGGCCCTGCGAGGCAGGTCCCCACTGCTCTTCCCCACTCCATCCGCCCGAGCCATTGCCGACGCTATACCCTGACGCGTCTTGACTGTAAGGTGCGGACTGGCCACCATATGCCCCGTAACCCATGCCCATGCCCACCATCCCGAAGTTGGCAGCAAAGCGAGGGTTGATGTGGGGCTGTACGGGAGGATACTGGTACCCGCCAAATGAGTAGTCGAACGGCTGTTGCATCTGCTGCATAGGATACTGAGGGTGGCTCCAGCCGCCGCCCATACCCCCTATAGGATCATGTTGTGGAGCGCCAGCTGAACCGTCAGAAAACTGACCGGTAGCTCGGGCAATAGCGAGCGAGGCTGGGGACAGAGACCGAGGCTGTTGAGGTTCGAATTCGGAGGAAGGTCCCTGCCTACCGGACCAGCCTCCAGGTCCCTGCCGTTGGTCTCCGCCACGACCGCGGCCTCGTCCCCTGCCACGACCACGGTCGTTGTGATGCCGATCGCGACCGCGACCGCGACCCCTCCCTCCATCTTCGCGTCGTTGGAAACTGCCCCTCCCCCGCCCGCGTCCCGGCCCTCGTGGTGAACCAGGGGGAGAGCCTGGTGCGTTCGACACCTTGTCAGCCTCCCTAGTAGGTTCTGGTGGTGGTAGGCCGTATGAATCTGAATAGGGGTCGTCGTACGGGATAGGGGCCGGTCGCGAGGGTCCGGCACCGTAGTCCATGTCGTTGTACGACAGGGTTGGAGAATGGTCATATGTGGATGATGTCCCTCCATATGGGTCCTCTGACATGTCCTGGTCTCGCATCCTTGACGGGGCAGGTGTCGTATGTCGTGATAAGGCCACGGAACCAGAGCGTCCGCGTTGTTGTTCTCGCCTACATGATGCTTGAGTTGTGAACGTAAAAAAACCACAAGAAAGTCATGGACGCACTTTTCAGCCCGTGCCCGTTTATAGGCAGCCTCCGCCTCATCATCTGAGAACTCAAGCTCATCCTCTCCAGGCTCCTCATCGTGAACGTTGCTTGCGTCACTTCCTTTCAGGTATCTCAGCTGCTGAACGAAAACGTAGTTGCTCTTTGCGGGAACGTGGAACACAGCTCGGCCAACCTGGACCTTCTCGGCGTCGAGGGGATACTTGGAGTTGAACCGTATCTGATATAGTGGTTCACTAGTTGGCCCGAACGTCTCAAAGATCTACCGAAGAGTTGGCTTCAGCATCGTGACAACAGGAATTAGTACGCACGTATCCCAGGACCTTCCGATCCTCGAAGACCAAGAGTGTGTCGGAGTCCAAAGCTCGTTCCGAACCTCGATTCGCGATCGCCGAGGGGAGACCTTTGACAATGACCACACTATTGACGATGCTCATGACCTCGCCGACCTTCTCCAGTTGCTCGTCCGGGCCAACCTCCGTAATGTCAGGGATTACGACATCGAGCTCTGCCATCTCGTTCTTCGTCCGCACTTGCGCCTCAGAGACCACTGTAGGCTCTCCATCTTCGTCGTCGTCCTCAACAGGCCTGATTTGTTTCGCTTTCTGCGTTACAGCTTCTTCGGAGTCTGAGTCAGAATCGCTGGAGTCGCTTGTGGACTCTGAAGGCGGGCTAAATTTGGTTAGACCCCATCAAATGAAACACATCCGTGAACACACCTTTCGTTTCCCTCTAATTCAGCAAGGATGTCCGCCTCCACCTCCTTTTCGCTATCTGTGTCGCTGTCGGTCCCATGCTCATGGTCGGAGTAGACTTGCTCAAGAGGCGCCTGTTTGGTCTTCTGAGGGGTGGGTGGCCTAGGTATGTCACCAAGGATATCTTGGATGAGCTGAAGGTCCTGTGGAATGGAAGAGGGCAGAACGAAGGAGAAATCCGTAGCCATGGCGGATAAGGAGGAGAAAACGTCTCGAAGCTCTGTGCGGCCTCAGGCGCTGACCTCATAGAATTTTGGACGCTCAAGACGCGACGGTCATGTGATACAGCGCCTCCATGCAGTAGCTGCGCGCCTGTAGCCAGAACGCGTCTCGTCCTACGACTGTCATGGTCGCCCACCGACGGCTCCCAACCTATCATTAGTCCTCCATATCTAACTCACATCACACTCTAACTTACCTCTTGAAACGCGCAGAAGTGTGCAGCGATGATCCGAACCAAGGTATGTTCGTGGCTGAGATACTCAATCACGACGCGGCGAGTGGGGCGCGAAGGCGGTAGCTTCTGGAGTTTGCGTGGGGGATTGCTGCAAGACTGATATCACCCTCAACATAGCAAACGGCCAGGAAGAGCACTGGAGGTGACTATACAGAAGTGTAGGACTGTGCCACGGACTGACACGAATTTCTAGGGAAAGCCCCTCGCGCACAATACATCACTGACCGTAGCTCAGACTCGGACGTCGAGCTGACGGAACAAACTCGTGTCATACGTGTAGGTATTGGCTTGAGAGGTGATGTTGTTGAGCTACCCTCATTGACTTATAACAGAATCGCTTGGAGAACATCTTCAAGAGCGACCTTACATTCTCCGGCTCGTCTTCGTTCCACCGTGCTTACCCGGAAGCACCCAACCCTTGTCTCAAGATCACTGGCATCGGATCTATTGGACTGCCTTTGAATGTGCGAGATGCGGAGGCGATCAAGGCTCGCGCTCAGCAAGCCCCCTTTGGCAAGGCTACCAAGACAGTTGTAGACAAGTCAGTACGGGATACGTGGGAGATTGACGGCAAGCAAGTATGTCACTGGGCTAATGAGGTCTTTCGCAGTCTGTTTTGAGCACTGACCATATGACTTGCCCAGGTCGAGTTCGAGAACAGAGCTTGGGCTCCCTTCATGGATCGGGTCGTCCGAACCGTCTGTGAGACGCTGGGAGTAAACTACGATGCCAGTCAACCTCGTTGCGATTTATACAAGCTCCTGCTATATGAGAAAGGCTCACAGTACGTAACATCCAAATCTGATCCATCCATCGGGAAAAGCTGATATGAGAGTCCAGTTTCAAGCCTCATGTCGAGTAAGTGGACCTCCCGTTCCCGATGTGCCCATCTGACCGAGCTCAGTACCGAGAAGGCGGACGGCATGTTCGCTACGATCGTGATCGTGCTGCCTTCAAGGTTCAGTGGCGGCACCGTACATGTTACCCATGGTGACACCTCAGAAGTGATAAACTGCAGCGTCAACAGTCACACTGACACGACTGTGCTCGCATGGTATACGGATGTTCAGCACGAGGTGAAGCCTATCACGAGCGGGTACCGGCTTGCCCTCTCCTTCAACCTCATTCATACCACAAAGTCATTACGACCAGCTCTGCCATCTCAGTCTGGTGCCGCCTCGCGCCTTCGCGATGTCCTCACGTCATGGAGGGACGGCGACGGTGGTCCCAGCAAGATAATGTATCTGCTTAGCCACAAGTATTCCCAGGCGAACCTCAGCGGAAGCGCGCTGAAGGGCGCGGACGCTCAGTTGGTTTCGACTCTGGAGGCTGTCGCGCGTCCCCTTGGCTTTCACCTGGGGTTCGCTAACCTGATCTGTACTGAACATGGATATGGGGACGCGATGTCGTTTAGCGACGAGATATCGATGATTGAAGTGGAGGAAACCTCGGTGGAGCTGGAGAACCTCGTTGACTTGAGCGGGAGCCTCATTAGACGTGTCTTTGAGTACGATGTGAACAAGGAAGTTATCCCCGAGAAATTCGCCCGCGAGATCACCTCCGGGGAGTATGACGAGCAAGACGATCATGGAGGTTACACCGGGAACGTGAGTGTGTCATGTCGCTTCTGTAAAACCGCCCTGACTTTTGTCCTCCAGGAAGGCGCGACGATCGATCGAAGTGAGCACATGCGTACCTATCGAGTCTGTCATGCCATAGACTGACTTTGCGCAGTCTATCTCCGGACCGTTGTGGTCATCTGGCCGTCCTGGACGCATTACGACATTGTATATGGCGAGGACGCCTTTTGGCACGCGTGCGAGGAGCTCGAATCCTCGACGACGACGTCTCCTACCCTGGAGGAGAACCAGCTAGTGCAGTATATCCTCAGCCGCGTGGATGCGGATGACGAGAATGCTGACCATGAGCAAGCCGTGTCCTCCGTCGCGACTGCTGCCGCTTGTAGATGGAAGGACCTTGCACTGTGGAAGAAGACAATGGACAAATGTCTTCCGTATCTCAGCCTGGCGATGTCCTCGGTGGAGGAGAGTATCTACACCGCTGTCGAGACGTTCGGATTTGAAGCCGTCGAGTCATTGTCAGAGACCATTCCCGTACATATATTGATCGTCTACACTCATCTGACGTCGCCGCTTTTTAGGATGAATGATGTTCTAGAAGGTACCATATCCGATGTGGATGTCCTGGAGTTCCTGTCGCAGTTTGAGTCCTGGACCACCGGCAAACTGGCGAAGAAAGTCGCAGAACCTATCAAGAGATGGATTGCGGATCGACGAACGCACCGGCTCACGAACTTGACCGTATCGAGCGGAGACGACTATGGCCTGTTAGTCAGTCTCGTCCTCGAACATTACGACGCCGAATTCTTGGAAAATAGGTATCACCGTTTTACTTGACTCGTAGGTCTCATGCAGGTACTGATCTTCTCTCTTTCAGCGTCGTTCCTCAATTGAAGTCGCGCTGCAGACCTTCCGCGATACCTGCCCTTGTCCATATTATCAATAGCCAGCCGAACATATCTTCGGATGCTCGGACACGCATGACGCGAGACCTCATGGTCGTCGCCGTGGCCAAAATTGATTTCTACCCCGACTATGATTTCTACGAGCGTCGATCGTCGACAGAGCTGGCGACCTCTTTCGTAGAAATATGTCTCCACTGTGGTTGGGATGATCTTCTCCTCAAGGTCCTTAGTCGCCTGATGCAGGCTGAGGACCGGCAGTACGGCATCGAAACAGGGATTCCAGTTCTGTCTTGCATCGGAGAGGCCGCTCGTGCTTATCCTGCGAGCAAGCCCTTCCCCGATGTGGTTCCCTTCGCTAAATGGGTGGTCTCATCATACCTCGACGTGATTGCCGCCCTCCCCCATGAAATCACTGCGAGCGACCTTATCTCTATTTGCGGAGCCCTAGAAGCGATTGGCCAATCGGGCTTGGCAGAAACTCAGTGAGGATGATGGATTATCTTGACTGCTCAGTCACTGACTACCCTGGACAAGGCTTCTCCCCAAACTCGAGACCTTGCCGATATCACCTCACACCCTCAAGAGCCTCCTCGATGGACTACATGCCAAAGGCAAGGCTATTGACCTCGATAGGGGGCCAATGAAGACGGTCATGTCGCGCCTTGTGACCAAGTATGCGACGATCGTCGACTTCCGGCCTACTGGGTGGGGCCATCCCAACATCGACAAACATCGAGTTGACGCAGCACACGATGCTCTCAAGTACTGCGTGGAAGTGGGAGTTCCAGATGCATGCTTCGAGGTCCTGCAGCGGCTGTTCAGCAAATCTGGGGAGCTGACCGCGGAGTTCTTGCGGTCCACAGTCATCCCGCTCCTGAAGAAGCTTCATCCTCTGCTCAAAAAGCACAAGCTTCGGGTTACTGCTGATCCGATCGCCGCGCCACTACGAACGCTGCTCCTTGACTGGGTCGGACAGGTGATGGGACCGCAGCCATCCGATAGCACTCTCGCGCCCCTTCGCAGCTTAGACGACTGGACGTGTGCATGCGATTACTGCCCAAACGTCCGTCGTTGGCTCGCAGAGTCAGCCGAGTCGCGCCACACGTTCCCGCATCTTGGAGCACCCAACAGGAAGCACATCGAGAAGTTTTTCAAGGTGCACGCGCTGCACATCGCAACCTGGCAAGCGGACAATGCACGGCCTCAAGGGTTGGTGGTATGCACAATCCAGGATGTTACTTCATTTCAGGCGGCTGAGATTCGACACGGATACCCTGTAGGTCGAGAAGCTGCCGAAGTTCATCAAACCGATGCAGTGGAAAGAGAACCAGAGCCAGGGCCGGAAGTTGCTCGATGCAATCAGTACCGACGCTCGAGAGCTACAAGCAATACTCGGTCCGGACTATGTGATGCTTGCGACACAGTTAGGTGCGGACGCCCCACTTGCATCACAAGGCAACACGGCTGCCGGTCCGTCCAAGACCATAGCGAAGACTACCTCGAATACGACAAAGAAGCGTCTGGACAAGGAGGCAGGAGAGGGCTCCGAGCGGCCGCCACCGACGAAGCGGAAGAAGAAGGATACGTCGAAGGTGCTGGGGGACGTCATCGACTTGACTTGAGCGACGGAGGACTCGTGTATTGATTGATGTTGACACCCCTCTATATTGCGCTGTAGTACCTGTCCACGAATTCTTCTTGCTGCTGCGTCCCAACACCCCAGGGGTGATTGCATGCAGGGCGGCGATGGCCCTCCTTGGTGGACATTGTGGGATCTGTCCGGGTCTGGTCTGGCTTGGCTTAGCCGTACGCGATGGGATGATACACTACCACTGTCCCTGCGCCATACTTGCCTCCACCACCGTGGCTGAGCTCTCATGCGACATATCCTCACTTCGCGGCCGTGGCACAAACGCGGGCACGTTTACTTAGAGAGCAACAGCGCACGACGCGCCATTTCGCTTCCTCTTGACCACGTACTCCGGTGGTGCAGGAATGTCACGCGCCCTTCGCTTGTCAGTACTCGGTGGTCAGCCTCGAGCAGCACGTCGCATATGGCACGCAGTTCGTAGCTATGCTGCAACCTGGAGCCTGTCAGCCTCTCTCGCAGCCAGTCATCCTTTGTTCTACCAACGCACGATGACGTCTCATGAGTTCAGGCTTAGGTAGTCAATCGTTGGTCTGGAAAGACACAAGGACGTCATCAGCCTTTCGGAGTGCTGACCTGCCGGTGTACTGGAAGGCGTCATAAGGAGGCTGACCGTGGGCTGACATGGGCCGTTTAGCAACGTCAGCGAGCATATAACCCAGAGGCGAGCACGGACTGCTCTCAATTTCGGACCTCCAGGTACGTGGTTTTTTTTGGTGTCGGCCCAATCGACGTGCGTGGTTTCTTTCGGTGGTGGGACTCGGCTACAAGGTACGTGGTTTCTTCCTGATCGTGGCGGTTTCCGCCTGAAGGTAGGTGATTTCTTTTCGGTGGTGGCGGTTTCGGACGCAAGGTACGTGATTATCGGCCTCTGGCCCATCCAAGGTGCGTGGTTTCTTTTCCCGAGGGAGGGACTCCGGTCCTGGCGCATACCTTTTCGTGGTCCTCGGGATAAGTACCTTCCTGCTCTCCGCATCTGGCCGCTCGGCCTGAGACGGAGAGCAGGTCGGGAAACCAAAATGCGCGGTTTGGTCTTCTCGTCGCCTGTACCTTTAAACGTTTGTTCTAGACGGCGACACCGACTCTCCGAACTGGGCACTGGCAAGGCGGTCCCGCCGCGTCACTTACTGTTGTCGAGTCCGCTATGTGATCTGCGATTCCTTCCACAGGACGAGACGGTTGATGCCCTACCGTAAATTTTTGAAAGCCGAAAGCCATTCCTGGATCTTAGGCAGCGTTGGTCGTTCAAATGTGACGTAGGAAGACGCTTACTTTCAACGCAAGTTAGAAGAAGAGAAAGGCCACGCCCATTGATAGACGCCGTGTCTCCTGGCCTCAAAGCGTCTGACTGATCGGGCTCGGCACATATGTATGGGACTCTCTACTGCCTTTCGACATTCCTGCCCTCCTCGATGACTTCGGCTGATGTTGTTGCAAAGCACCAATATTCTCTGGGATGGCGTTCAGTGAATTATTACGATTCGAATCAAGAAATGACGCTCACTAATCTCGGGCGAGTCGCCGCGTCACGATGATTGCGTGAGTAGCATGGCGAACACGCAGAAAGGTACGCTGCCTTTCTGGACAGCTTTGTGCCGCAAGAGGAGGAGTCTAGGGGTAGTACAATTCCCAGTGTAGGGCCTTCTAGGGGCAAAGCGGAGTGGTATCCGGGATTTCCGACATGTTCATCATATAGGTAATCACCGCCCTCAGGAAGTCCGGCCACCGAGTGAGGGAGAGACGTAAGAGGGCAAGTCAGTACATAAGGGTCAGTTCGGATACCAGGTTCTGAGCCAGAATCCAGGTTCCGCCGTATTCTGCACTGCATCTTCCATGCCGCCAGTACGGGCGTCTCCTGTCACCCTACTATATCGGGTAGTCTCGGCGCTTGAGTTCTCTATCTCTCGTCAGCTTTAGAAGTGGGTTATCGGGGGCGTATGAGCTTTATGATGTTGATGTCGTCTCTTTGAAGGCATAATTTGAGGGATATGCACAGATAACACCTTTGGTACCTTTTCACCAAGTCAAATAACAGGTTCAGCCCAGCCATACAATGGAAAGCACCTGTCTCCAATACATACTCAGTCGAATCAGGACACGGTCCTCTTTTCCTTGTAGCAGGGTACATTTATATACGTTCAAGTGCTGTATAGCCATATATAGAGGCCAAAAGCAAGTGAACAACTCGCGCCTTAGTGCGTCCGTGACTGCTGGTCACCTACAGCTGTCACTAAACTAGTCACCCATCAGTCACAGTAGCGCCCGGGCAGAGACTTTGACTGGGAATCCGGTGGAACCTGGGTTCCGGCTCAGAACCCGGTATCCGAACTGGCCCTAAGAACTCTGGAAGCGTTTGCTTACTTTGCCAGGAAGCGGAAGAAGCACTGCATCTGCAATCGAGATCACGAAGCGAGTGTGTGCAGCGATTGATGAGCCGGCTCTTCTTCCTCTCACGGCGACCTTGACTGACTCTCCCGGCAGGCGGCAAATATCGTCTAGCACTGAACAATCTGATTCCAAGTCTCAGATCTCAGCACGCAAACTGGGAGAATACTGAGCCTCTGTTAGTCTTGGTTGCCCAGGGAACGCTATGTTACCAAGGTCAACAACAAGATAACACGTCTACACCCGAGCTCGGGGAGCTCTTGGATTCTCCTGTGCTTCCTTGCAGTTCCGAGAGTATGAAACCATTCAAGATTGTCGCCCTCGAAGTCCTTTCGAAGGCTACCCTGCTTCGACGTATGTGCTACAATTCTGTCTCATGGAGACTCCCGTCCATTTCCGCTCGAAACTAGTCCCGTGTTGAGAGCCACACAGATCCTACCATTCTCCTAGTCTCCAACACGACATCTCCGCTTTCCTGCTACACTAACCGAGCAGTCCGATTTGGCGTGATGATTGAAACTTCAACCCCCCAACCGTTATCAGCCGTCACCACCCTGAATCAAATATTCTTGAATCCATGGCGGCTCCTCTCCGCTCGTCGCGAAGCGTTTCACACGCCCGCGATGGCGGCCTTCGCGTACGAGCGCCAGGTACAGTATTCACCATCTTCCCGGTTGCTTTTTTGAACCGTAATTGTTAGCACTCGATGGCCCGCACCTTGCGTCAACAATTCATGCACGCGAAAGAGAATCAACTGGGGTGTCGCGGCGCGACCAGGCAGTCTGAGTATAATACAAGATCGACCGAAGTCAAATTGGACCCCGCATTGGGCGGCCAACCTCTGTCATCCTTCAATTCCTGACTTTGAGCATTCTCTGAACGCCGTACTGTAGTCCGTCATGGCGCCTCTCGATGGAACGTGAGTCTTGACCCATCTGTATTACGTATTTGATGTGACGTGTAACCTCCTGCAGAATGGGACCGCTCCTCATAGGAGTGATCATCTGCGCAGTGTAAGTCAACCATCTCGTACATGGCGTCTGAGCGTTGAACCGAAGGATTGGGGATGGCCTCGATCAGTTTCTATGGAGGTGAGTATATTGTCCCACTGAATGCCCCATCTTCATGGCAGCTCTTCGCAGTTTCGGTCTCCCAAGTCTTCTACTATTTCACCCGCTATCCCCACGATCCACTGTACTTGAAGTTACTGGTGAGTCGTCTTCCTAGTCATATCAGTGCACTGCCTCAATCCTCTTCAGGTGTTCGCAGTGTGGGTGACAGATACAGTACACCAAGTAAGCAATGACTTTCTCCGTGTGTCATCGAGCGATTAACATCACGTCTTGGATAGGGACTAATATCGCACACCGGTCAGTCATGTCCTGATTCGATCCGTAACCATTCATTGAACGCCATCCCAAAGTATATTGGTACTTTGTAACGACATATGGAGATCCGACGGCTCTCGGTCGGCTTGCGCCGTACGTCAGTGTCTGTTATAGAAACAATATTGAGCAATTGATGCTGCCTTCCTGTGTAGTACTATCATCATTGAGGTGTACTTCAATGTAAGTCTCTCGTTGATCTTGCTTATCTTCGGAGCTAACATCCCTGTCTCAGGCATTCACTGCATTGTTTGTTCAGAGGTATAACCAGAGCCCTGTTATAGCGATTCATATTTCTGACCGAACCAAAGCTTCTTTGCAATGCGGATCTACAGACGTGAGAACGTTGTACAGGTTTTGCTGCATCTTAGTAATATCTTTTTGCTAGTGAGTGGGAAGAAGATGTGGTTGGTAGTCCCGGTGGTGCGTCTGAATGCTTTCAATGCAAACGAATGAGTGCTTACATGTACATCAAGGTTATGTTGATCGGTACAGAATTTGGTGCGTAGTCTGGCCACATCACTTTGAATGACCATCGACTGATCGGCGTGCGCACGCATAGGTATCATCATGGGTCAGTCAGTCAGGCTCCCATTGTGCGCTGCCGAATATGCTCAATCATGTCGTTTGGTTCAGCATACTCCATCAAAGCGTAGGCGTTTGATAAACCTCATTCTGACGTGCGCTGACGATCTTGTGCAGGCTGGCCTTCAAGACGTTCATTGACCTCACCAAATTGAAGGTACGCCAAACGCCTCACCCACTCACACTCGCTCCAAATGCTAACGTCGCACAGGACCTTTCCGTGAGCATCAATGCCTTCGCCGCCGCAGGAGATGTATGCATTGCAGCCATTCTGTGCACGATCCTCCAAACCTCGAAGACTGGCTTCTCGAAGTGCCTTGAACATCCTGTCGTCTGCGATATATCATATCTAACCAAAAATCACCTGCAGGTCCAACCATATTATCAACAGGCTCGTAAGTAATGCACTCCTCACAAATAGCTCCCGCTTTGACTGTCTACATCGCAGATGGTGTTCTCAGTCAATACCGGCTTGTTGACTAGGCGCGTGATATACATATTACTGACGGCGCATTCGTATAAACTGACCGACTTCTGTAGTATTTGTGCATGCATATCGCTCATTACGATCCTTGCTCTGCCGAATACCTTCGTTTACATCTGTTTCTTCTTTCTCATGGGCCGTCGTATGTCGCGCTTCTATCGCTTGCTTGTTGCTCACTCATGGTATATCGACATGTATGCAGTCTATTCGAACTCCCTCATGGCAACCCTAAACGCACGCAAGGGGATCCGAGAGGCCTCTTCGAAGACCCATGACAATTCGCTGTCGCTCCAGAACATACACCCAACCGGCCATGGGATTCCCACCAACTTCAGTGTAAGTCATCCTCGAGCCATATACCCGTGGGCTGCGGTTCTCAGTCTCTCAACGTGCACTCACGCGTATGTATCTCGAGAACAGAAAACGGACACGAGCATCGCCATCCGAATTGATACGACCAAGGACACACAGCACGACGCCGACTTCGACGTACGTTCAGCATCGCCACACATTCCTCGTCGGCTCGCTGACTGAATGTCTCAGTACCAGTCGACGCACTACAGCAACAGCGACAAGCGTCCCATTGAAGACTGAGGTTTCTGAGTCCTTCCCTGCCTTCGAATGCTAGAAGAGGCAGCGCGTCCTGGCGTCCGCGACCTGCCAAAATTTGCTCTTCAGATCGCGTTGCCGCCCGACAGACCGTCAAGTCGCCTGCTCCGGCGGTCAGGTGTGGGCGCAGCGTTCAGATTTCGTAGACTTACAGTGTAGTTTCGCTTGCGACATGGTCTCTCGCTGCACTTATCATGGTGTATCTTGTTTGGGATGGAATACATGGAGGATTGCACTGAATTACAAACAAAAATGAGATGGTTAGCCTTTGGCATAGACCCGCCGCGTCGGCTCAATCTCAGCGCTGCGCTAAAGAACTGATTTTGGGATGACACGCTCGCCTTCGCTCGGCCTGAAGATCAATATTCATACAATTTCAATGCATCTCCCACGACACTCCTACGATGTCCGCTTGTCAACCTCACCAGCATCCGTATCTACGATCGACGTCAGCGTCGCGCTCGACGCCCCCGCCGACTGCGCCTCCTCTTCTTTTGCTCCCCCGGTCGGGGTAGCCCTCGCGGACACGTCCTCGCTGCCCAGCTTCGCCTTCTTTCGGTGCCGGTGCTGCATGACGGAGACCGCCGACTCGTCATCGTAACTGCCGCAATCGTTGGTCTGTATTCACACGCATTCATTCGAGGGAGAGGAACGTACATTTTGATGACGTGCAGGATGAACCCGCCCGACCCCGACGCGTTCATCATCGGATGTGTGCGCCCAGGTAGGACCTGGTATTTGCGCAGGAATCCTTCCGTTACCGCTGGCCCAAGGTATCCGGGGATGTCTCGGAGTTGGTTTTGAAGGTTTGTTACGACCTGCGGGGACGTCACTCAACAGGACTATACTGAGAGGGCAAGATACGGGCATACCTGAACGTAAGGGCTGTGGACGACAATAGATGCTGAGCCACCCAGGTAGGGGAACAGCTTCTCCAATATCGAGTACGGATCGTACTCGGTCGCTACGATTAATCTATCCATGCAATCGGCATGCGGCACAATCCAACAGGCAGGCGATCTTACCCGTCGAACTCTCCAGCGAAGAGCTCTTCCCGCGTCTGCATGAGAAGGTCGGAGGCAACCTTCCTCTTATTTAGCCTTGTGCGCTGGCCGTCGGACTTGTACTTTCCGGAGGGCGGCTCCGTGGACGCGAGGACTATCTGGCGATCAGGAATGTGTCGCAGGTACACGGGGAAACGTCTACATACTGGGAGTATAATCCTCGTCGGCCGTAGCCCAGTTGAGAGAGGACATGATGCTCGTGACTTCCTTGCGAAAGTTCATTTGCGTCATGACGGGGTACGCAGGAGGGGAGTCGACGTCGCATATCGTAAGCAAGCGTCCTTGTCCTGGATGGGAAGCCGTTCGCGCGCGAGTCGTGGTAGAGATGGCGAGCGGTGCTTACCCCCAAGCCGGTCCAAGACCGCAGATACTACCACCCCTGACGCATCGTCCACCACGAGATACCGCCCCCCAGGTCGGACGTTAGCCAGGTTGAGTATTTGTGCGAGGGCATCCGGCCGAATATCCCGGAGCCTGTTTTGGTCCTTGTGGAACCAGTACTCACATACATTGAACATTGTTGGCTCGATGACCGAGAAAGACTTGGAGTATCTAGATGAATAGGGCAGTGAGCGTGCCGGACGCAGTGTGCAGCAATGAACGGGACGCACTTCATCTCCTTGCGCTTTTTGTACTTCTCCTTGCTATACTCCGTCTTGAGAGAATAGTTCGCATGCTGCTCTATTTGCTTTTTGATGATTTCCTACGACGGGCTCCCGGTCAGGACGCGCTGGGTTGCAAAAGGTGCTCAGCTCACTGATGCGTGCAGCCCAGACTTTTTTAGGCTCTCGATCTCCTCAAGTGTCAAGGGCTGAACGGATTGTCCGTCATGAATCAGCTCGTTCGTCGCCTCCGTGTCCTCTGCTCACGCCTGTCAAGGGGGGCACGCAAAACTAGGCAGAAGTTCGTACCTACTTCCTGCATCGGGCGGGGAGGCAGCACCTTCAGTTTCTTGTCGACAATCTCATATGTTAGACCGAACGGCTGGCCGACAAGCTCGCTGGTAGGGAAAGACCCGAATTTCCCAAGATATATTGTCCTGTCCGCTGATAGTCAGACGAGCAAGACACGAGCAGCCACAGGTCCGTTCCGTACGCATTCCCCTCAAGCTTTACAGTCCGAATGTCTCCGCTTGGGATCTTGAGCAGCACCGTGTGGCCTAATTGTATGGTCTCCTCACGGTTACTGAGGGCATGGTTGGACTGGGAGGAGCCCTCGCCGACGTCCATGAGAGCGAGGAGGGGAAAGACGGAAAACAGATCGAGATCTGCGCTCACAAGATGACGACAAGCACGTGCCCGCATTATGTCCGCGTCCCCGGCGCCGCGGAGGTTCACATTGAACTGCAACATCACCTCCCTCGTTCGCCAGGCCCTGGCTGGCTGCTGTCGACCACAAGAGTTCACAAGTCAATCTTGAGGCTCTAAGGCTAAAGGCGATAGGACAATTGGATCGAAATCTGTGCAGCGGGTTCCGCCTGGACTTATCTGGTACCATCCGTTCTCTCATCTCAACTGGTATCTTGGATCTTGGCGACGTTCATTACTATGCGGCTCTATACTCTAGTCTGTCTCTCTGGTTTGGCTCACGCGTCTCTGACTCTTGGCCCCGGAAGCCAAGCGTTCCAGCATTTAGATCAGAACTTGGCAGGAGAAGGACGCGCCCTAGACGGTTTGGGCTTACTGAACGGGTTTGGAGGCGACACTCGTGAACACCCTTCGGCATCCATAACTTTGCCCTTCGTCCCTACTCTGGCATTCCCCACATCTTCAGATGCAGCAGACGACAAGAAGAAGACAAAGACCTCAGATTCTACCACTACCTCAACAGGCACTTCCTCCATCATAGGGACGCCTTCCCCTCTCACCCCCACCGCCCCGTCTTCCCTCAGCGGATCGCCAATTACTTCGCACGCACCCTCAGCATCCCCAAACATAACCTCAGCCCCGGTGCCGCCCAACAATTCCACCGCGTCCTCGGGCACGAGCGAATGGAAGATCATCGGCGTCGCCGTCATTGCCTTCAGCGTGGTCGCCGCCATCCTCCTCTTGTCCGTGTTCTTCGACCACTGGTGGCGCTTCGTGCGCGACATCGTCTGGCGCAAGCGCAAGAAGGTCAGCGACGAGGAGCTCGTGCCCGACTGGGAGAAGGCCGAGTGGGAGCTGCGCCTCGCCAGGGACCCGGAGCTCGCCCGGTACCCGTCTTTTGCGTCGTTCCCTTCGTCTCTACCTTCGGTTCCGATTGTTCAGCATGCTGCTCAGGGCCAGACATCCCACACCCAGGCACCAGTGTCAAGTCCGATGCCGCCTCAGAGTGCGCTAGGACGGAGTGCGTCGAGGAGGGAGGCGCAGACAAAGGCCCTGGAGAGAGGAGTTGGCGACCAGCAGGAGCAGAGGTTGGCTAGGCGCATGTCGGTCTCCAGACAACATCAACACCCTGCCTCGAGCGCTGGCATCGCTGGGGTCGGAACTGGACTCGGGCTAGGACGCGTGGACAGCGTGAAGAAGGATGCAAGGGCGCACTCGACTCCGCAGAAGGCGGATGCCGGAAGGACGTCTCCTAGGCGGAAGTCAACTCAGCCTGGACGCGCGGGAGCGGTCAAGGAAGAAGACCCTTTCGCCGACGTGCATTCGCCTACGTTGATGCCTGAGGACGTTTATGGCGGCATCGAGTGATAAAGACGGGATAATGGACCTAGGAGGGATTCGGGGAAAACATGCACATTGTACTATCAGCGCATTGCTGTATTTCTAGCTCAAGCTACCTCACAATCATTTTGTGGACATCAACATGAGGGATGGAGAGGTGTGTGATTAAGCAGCATTTGGGGAGGGCGACTGTGGTGTTTTGGCCGCATCCTTGGGCGCAGGGATGGCTTCCTCTAGTTTGTCGGAGGCCCATATGCCGATAGCAGCAACGGTCGTGATGGCGAGGGAGATGCGCAGACGCGTTTTGGCGGGCAGCACTGGCCAAGCACATCTTGAGACTTCTTACAAGCCATGGTAGACAGAGTACGACGCACCAGCCCACGACTCCCATATTGACCTCTCAGCAACAGGCTTCGTACGAAACTTGAATTCTGGCTGCTTTGGGGCAGGCTTCGGGGGCGTTTTTGGTGTTTGCGACATGACAGATGATAGGGGTGAGGAGCAAGGGGACGAATGGCGCGCGCGTCGCGACGGGCGCGCGGGATGCCACGGCGCGTCCGGCCGCGACTGCTCTGGCTCAGTCATCTTGTTCTCGCGCAGCCATCTCTTCTGCGTTCCAGGGGGCCCCGGCTCACAGATCTCTCACAGATTGCGATTTAGACATCAAGATGTTCACAGGTCTGGTATGCCGTACAGCACATATCGTCATTATCCTTCTGACTCCCGTACTCGCGCATGCATAGATTGAGCACCTAGGCACCGTAACGGAGATCGTGCATGACGCGGGCGGGTGCACGCTCACCATCGGGGACTCCGCGCCCATCCTGGGCGACTGCCATGTCGGAGACTCGATTGCGGTCAACGGCGCGTGCCTGACGGTCGTCGAGTTTGACAAGGAGGAGCGCGGCGGGTGGTTCAAGGTCTGGCTCGCGAACGAGACTCTGGATAGGACCGACCTCGGTGCGTCCCCGTCGTCTATGGATGTCATCCTTTGGAATGTGGCTGAGCGGGCCATGTGCGTGCATGTACAGGCGAGCGCAAGGTCAACGACCAAGTGAATCTGGAAAGGGCGATGGGCGCGCACGTCCGGTTTGGGGGACACTTCGTCCAGGTGCGTCCTCTTTCAGGTTCTCTTTCTTAGGCACTCCATGCGCATTCGCTGACTTCCAACAGGCTCACGTAGATACCACCGCTACGCTGATTGGCAGGCAACCGGACGGCGACTCGCTGCGCCTGCTGTTCCAGCTGCCCGAGCCGACCCCGGAACGCCCATCCCTGCTGCCGTACCTCATACCCAAGGGTTACGTCGCCATCGACGGGACGTCGCTGACGCTCACAGTAGTGGACGACGCGCGGCGCGCATTCGGTGTCATGCTCATCAAGCACACGCAGGAAAAGATCACGCTCAGCAAGAAGCCGATTGGGGCCAAGGTGAACATCGAGGTGGACATGGTCGGCAAGTTTGTTGAGAAGAGCGTGCATGCCGCGCTGGGAGGCGGTGGCGGACCCTTGCGCAAATTGGTAGAGAAGGTTGTAGAGGATGTGCTAGTGAAGAAGGGGGTGGTCGCACAGCGATGAGAGGGCATACGAAGGCGGATATACGTGTAGCTCTAAGCCGAGGTAGCAGCAATAAACGCGGGTAAACGTCGGTCAATGGACGCGTATAGTCGCTTTTCCCAAAGAGGCAACTCGCTTAATTGGCGGATGTGACCGCCTGGAGCCCGCCCAGCTTCCGACCTCAACCTCCTCCACCCTCCGTCGCTATCTCCCACCTCCCACTCTTCTCTTGACTCGCTTCAACCCCCTGGCCTCATGGAAGGCCAGATGAAACCGAAGGTTAGCTCTTTGTCGAGACACTGAGCAACCGTAGGTCATACTCAGGTCACTTTCCAGGTCACCGCGCGGGTCGACTTCGATCGACCTCGTCCGGCTTCCCCATTCAAGTCCCCGTCGACGTCCCTCTCTCCCCCGCTTATCAGGCCCAAGGCGAAGGTGAACAGTAGTGCGACGATTCAGCCACGTAAGGCTGCAAGTGTCGTATCGGCCGCCCCTACCCGGAATAGTCCTGTCCCTCGTGCCCCGTCCCCATTCAAACCACCAAATTCCCGTACCCCCACCGTCTCCCCAGCTGCCAGTGCAGTTGTCAAATCTCGCTTGACAGCACGTCCGAACGGGAGTAACTCGACATCGCCGTTACCGGAATCACGACAACGAGCGTTCACGGCGGCGACGCCGTCCACATCTCATTCATATGTTCGTCCACGGAGAGGGAGCGCGTCGTCATCCCATCTTCTCGTCTCCGCACAGAGAGAGGCCAGCGTAGGTTCGTCTCCGGCTCGCTCAGACCTCTCACTATCCTGGCAAGCCGATGAGAACACACCTACCGCCCCGCCGTCCAATGTGAGCGTCCGCGTCAAGGCGAAGCTATCCAAGGTGGCGGACCCGGGCGTACACAGTCCGCCGTCGCTGCCCTCATCACCTTTGCTGGGGAACCGTCCTGCCCGCGTCCCGTCCATCTCGAACCTGAATCTCTCCCCGCCGCTGATGTCAAGCGGTTCGGGAGGTGGGAGCCCGTCCTCGGCATCTCCATCTCCATTGGCAGGACAGATGCGGTTCGGGAGTGCGCGCGAGACGAAGCATCAGTCGTTTCAGGCACTTCCCAAGGCGTTCCAGGCGTTTGTGGCGAACGATGACACGGTGATAGACTATGGCGCCTCAACGAGGAGCGGGGCGAAGGTCGACCCTGCCGCTATCCCCCTACCACCACAGTCGCCGCCCATCTCGACGGTATCATTTTCCTCTCGATCCTCGGCCTCTCGGTCATCGGTGTCATATGGGACCCAGGACTCGAAAGGCAGCCGGAGTACGGCCCCCACTCTGCACTCGAATGTCAATGGCAACGGGCATGCACGACAAGGCAGCAAGTCCTCACAGCCGCGGGGGAGCATAGACGGTCTTGCCATCCGCTCCGAGCCCATGAGCCGCGAACCATCGGCGAGCGAGATGGAATTCTCTGACGATGACGCGCCTCATCACGACGCTGATAGCGAGGACGAAGAGCGGAAGCTCAAGGCAGCAGCGAAGTCCAATCGAAAGGTATGTTTTGCTGCGCGTACAGTCAAGATGCTTGGTTTCTGTCCCCATAGTGCATTGTTCTCTGTCTTTATGTGTGGCTCCGATCTTCACTCTGATGCTCCATTCGTGCTACCCAGATCGCAGATCTCGAGATTACGAACCGCTCCCTGATGGCCATCAATTCGACATTGGAGGCGACGAAGAACAAACAAGCCAGAGAAATCCGCGAGCTTCGGCGAAAGCTGCGCGAGTCGCGACTCATACTTCCTCCGCCCGCCTACCGCGCCGTCAAGTCGTCGTTGTCCCCAGAAGACCTGGCTGAAGAGGAAGACGACGACGACGATGAGGAGGACGAAGAAGACGAGAATGGGCTGCTGGAAGGCAAGGCAGACGAGGCGTACCGTCGCGTGCGATCCATCCTTGACACCCTTCTGGAGTCCGGCCGTCGCGCTCTCGAGTCGAAGCCGGAAGACTTCGTCGGGACAGGCAAGGGCACAGCGAAGGTGCTCACGGCGGAAGAGGTGCGGTCATGGCGAGGGGATGATGACCTCACCGAAACGCGTTCGACGTTGGGCGCCGACGCCGACTCGAGCTTCGCAGGTTCTCGTCCGCTGACACCTTCGAGGGTAGCAGTGCCAGAAAGCGACGTGGGACTGGAGAGCGAAGATGAAGTGGAAGCTTCGCTGATTGAGCCTGATACCCCTCCTCCATTACCGCCGATTACGATCACGCCGTCTGCTTGAACATGAGAGTCTCTGTCGCCGTCATAGATTTGCCCCTCGGGCTTCCATTGCTCTCGGAACGCTTTGTTCATGACTGCCGCATGCAACTCGCTATCACTAGGTCCACTGTAGAACTGTTTGTCGCCTATGTTCCACGTCCTACATCAACCGATACCTCACTGACCACCAATCGTTTCGGATCTGGATCACGAACACATACCCATTCTCGCCCAACCGCATGATCCCGCTCGTTCGTTACCCTCGCATACAGCAGTACAATCAGAATCACGCACGCACGCACCATTGTCTAGCAGCAACGTCATGTCCTCTACATGATACATTTCATTCTCGAGCATACACACTTATCGCATAGGTACCGGCCTGCCTTATTCCTTACATATATGTACAGCACCATGAATGTCATGAAGCCTGCTCGCCTTCGCACAATCAGCCGCGTGGTATAGACGATCTCTATCTTATTCGACAGGTGCAGAAGTCCGGTTACTCCTCATCTGCTATACGCTGTGCTCGCTTGGCGAGCTATGACGAGGGTATTCAGTATGACTGACGAAGGACAGGAGACCGAAGCACTCACTGCAGCAGCAAGATCCATCTGGCCTCCGACCGCCGCCGGCTTTCCGACGCCTCCGACCTTGGGCTTCGGTGCAGCCCCTCCGGGACGGGGCGCAGCGGGCACAGGAGGCTTGGCGCCGACCTTCGGCGGAGGAGCCCCAATGGAGGGCTTGGCAGCTACTGGCGGAGGGGGCTTGGGCTTCGTTGCGAGAGGTGGCTTTGCTGCGGCTGAACTCGCCGGTCTTGACGACGCGGGAGTGCTGCCGTTCGACGACTCGGCGGTGGCAGTGGAGGCGGTGCGTTTCCAGGGCGCAGCAGATCCATTGGCGGGCCCTATCCCCGGGAAGACTGCGACAGGCTTCGCTGAAGGGTCGGCAGATACGGATTTCAGTCCTATCTTCGGAGCTGCTGAAGCTGCAGGCGCTGCAGGGGCGGATGGAGTCGGACGCTTGGCCGCTGGTGGAGGTGGAGGCGGCGGCGGAGGCGCCACGGCCTTTGGCTTGGGAGGGACCAGCTCGAGATAGTTGTGCGGTGCCCAGCCCTCGGCACCATCCTTCTTGACGAGCCACCAGCCGTTGTCATCTTTCTCGACCAGCTCGACGATGTCATCCTTCTTCAGCGTCATCTCGCCCTCCTGGCCCTCAAATGCATACTTCGCCTTGTAAAGCTCAACATCAGGTTCAGGTGGCGGTGGAGGAGGTGCCGCAGCTCGAGCTGGTGGTGGCGGAGGGGCGCGAGGTGCTGCCGACGAAGCTGTTGAAGTGGCGGCCGGTGGCTTGGGTGTTGGCGCAGCAGTAGACTTTCCGGGCAACGGCTGCGATGCGGGCTTCGGGCGAGAAGCTGCAGGTTTCTGCTAAGAGGATGAGCATAGACAGGCTATGTTGTAAGAAATGTCTACTCACAGCCGATGGTCCGCCTTTCCGCAAGAGCTTGCCTTGGGTGATTGGCCGAACGACGCCCTCTTTCTTCTTTGGCATCGGCCGTGACAGGCTTGAGGGCGGCTCGCCGGAAGGTACATGTACTGTATGACTCTTGTAGGTGTCATTCCTGGGAACGGTCTCGTCCTTAACGAACTTGATTTGCGCCTTCTTCTCTTTCTTCTTGTTGTATTCGATGCTGAATGAATGTGAAGCGGCCGAATGGCAGACCTACACAGGAACCACTTACGTCGGACCGATGAGGACACTGATGCTACCCTGTGTCAAGCGAAGCATGTGCGTGACTAACTCCGTCTTGAAGACACAGCTGAGGATTGGGTCGCCCTCTTCCGTGGGTCCCAGGTTGAGAACCTGTGACTTGTCAGTCAATCACGATACCCCGGCGTGAGATATACGTACAAGCCAATCATCCCTCAGGATGGACATTGAGACGCTCTTTATCGTTACGAGGTTGATCTTCCGTTCTAGTGTGGTGACAGTCTGACCATCCTTCGCTGTCGTTACAGCAATATAGAACGCTTTATCGGTCTGCGGATGCGAGGTCACCCCATTGAAAGTCATGCGCTGCATCGGGGATGGAAGCGTACCAAGATGAGGAACCGAGGGCTAGGTTTACTCGAGCGACCAAGTTTCGAGACGAGAATCTGCCCACGGCTACTGAATGTTACCTGATCTCCTGCACACAGTACCTCTCATCAGCCGATGAGCAAGACGCTGGGGAATGCACGCTCACTTCCCAACCCGCAGGCCTCAATGAGCTCTTCGCCCAACGCGCTCTTCCCATTGAGGTCCAGGTAATCTCCCATGAAGCGACGGTACCCCAGCAAACTGAATCGCCTACGCTCCTTTCGGCCAGCAAGGATCTGGTGTCCATAGTCGCGGATCTTAGCGTACTCGATGCTCTCCTTGTTGTTTTTCCAGAAGCGCTGGATGCGGCGGGCACACTCGTGCTTGTAGCGCATGTAGTTGCGCCAAGCACGTTGAATACGACCGGCCATATTGTGCCAGTAGCGATCACGCATCGTCTCGAGGGCGAAGAGCTGCAAAGCCGAACGACTCGTCAATCTTGTCATACTGAGGAGTTCCTCCTCTAGAGACGTACCGTCTCGGGGTTCTTAATGAACGCCTTCGATACACCCATCTGCCACTCCTCGCGCGCGATACCCGTGTCAGTGAGGATCCGCTCGCAGCCTGACTTTGAGTCGCCTTGCCAGATGTAGTCGCCCGCGTACGAGGTTGCCGGAGAGAGCAAGTAGAAGCGCTCTACCATCTTCTCGAATGTGTTCCGATACGCGAAACCCGCACGACGAACGCGGATGTTCTCTTGGAGACCGAGATACTTGACCTGATGCAGGACAGCCTTGGTGTCGTATTCGGTAGAACTCCGGTTCTGGTTCGGCTTGATGGTACGGATATACGAGGGTTGCGCGCGCATGAGGTTGTCGACCAAAGCTCCCGCAGAGGCCTATAGGATCATGTTTGCAGGATGTCATGGAACATATCGTATACATCACAGACCTTGATCCTGTCGCTGGCAGTCGGAGGCCGCTTCTTGCTGTTGGGGTCCGGACGGTCCGGGAAGAGACCTTGCAAGAACTGGTTTCCGCTAGTGCCAATGAGGTCCAGCAGATCCTTCACGAGCAGATCCTTGTTCTTATCCGTCATACCAGCCACGTTGTACATCACATCACCGGCATAGTGCTTGACCAAGAACTGCGCACCACGGGCCTCGAAGTGCGGGTTACTCGCAAGCGCCGCTGTACGCTGGATGAAGGAGTTGTCGGCAGCGGTGGGGTCGGCGTGGGCAGTCGCGCAAGCATCATTGAGCGCAGCAAAGATACCGGGTGGACGCCGCTCCTCGATGAGGTCGCAAACGATCTTGTTGTTGAAGTACTTGATGGGCGTCCACTTGATCTGCTCGCGGACGTACTCCTCCTGCTCGGTCTTGAGGGTGAGCTCGATGAAGATCTGCTGGAGCTTCTCGTTAACGTAGTTGATGCAGAGCTGCTCGAATGAGTTGTCCTATGTGGAGCCACGGTGTATGAGACATCAACGCAAAATGCATGACTGCCAAGCTAACCTCGAAGATCTCGAAACCGAAGATATCCTGTGCCAAGAGTCAATGTGACGCCTAAGCATGTGAATAAAGATGTGGCGTACAAGAATGCCAATCAACTGGGCAGTAGCTTGGCGAGCCTTCATCGAGACGTTAATCTTCGACACGATCCATTCGAACAAGTTGTTGTAGATAGCCTTTGCCAAGGCGTCACGACCTGAACTAGCCTGGGCGGGGTTCAAAGGCACATCATACACAGAACCACGACGACCGCCGCGTTGGGTCTCCATAGTTCGGCTAGTCATCGCCTTCTGCACCAGGGCGGCATCCACCTCAAGCAGGTACGCAACGAAGTCCGTCACGCTAGTGTCTGCGACGTCAGCATTGCCGTCGTCCTTCTCGCTGTACTGGACATTTCCGAGCCAGAGGATCACGGCGAGCATTCGGAAGATCTCGCTCTGCTCATAGTCGCTCAGACCGATGACTTGCATCGCTTTCTGTGGTGAGTCAGAATCTGCGCGGATAAGGAGTGGCAGCAGACGTCCTTACAATCGTCTCAGCAAAGTCTTGTGTGTCATCGATACCAGGGACGTCGAGACAGTTGCTCAGACTTGTGTACGCGTACGCCTCCGGACCCTGTAGCCCATATGCCTCTGTGAAACCGAATCAATACCGACTTGCAGATTCTGGCAAAAGGCCTACCTCGCTGCGCATCCGAGGCTGCCTTCGTGAATTGGTAGAATATGTGGAAATTCCGCTCGTTCTCCACTTGACCCACCACACGACCTTTCTCTAGAAGGTAATTGGTGATCTGAGCACCAATCGGCTCTCCGTGGTCGTTGAACATGATCTCCAAGTACTTTCCCTACAGGTGTGTAAGCACGGAGATTCTTGCCACTACCCGCACTACGCACATGTCGACTGGAGTTGTTATTCCTCAACGTCTTTGCGCATCCGAAGCTCTCCAGTAGCGGATTGGTGGCGAGCACCATGTCCTTGATCTCCTGGATGCTGCTGTCCTGCCCTCCGGACACAGCAGCGATATACTGCATGATTCGCTTCGCTGCCTCGGTCTTGCCCGCACCAGATTCTCCGGAGATAATCACGCACTGGTTCTCGTGGTACGCATTCATGTTATAGTACGCGCTCTCTGCAATCGCGAACACGTGCGGTGGAACCTCCAGCCTATTCTTGCCCTTGTACTTCTGGAGCACCTCGTCCGTGTAGATGCCCAGATCTACTCTCCGCATGTGCGGCGGACAGTCACCGACGTGAACATAGAATCACGGAGCAAATGTGACGCACCTCGGAAGGGATTGACAGAGATGAGCACCGAGCCGATGTAGGTATAGATCTCGCCGTTCTTCCACCGTTTCTCGAGATTCTCGTTGATGCTCTCGTTCGTGATGGTGGTGAGGAGGGTCATATCGGACACGCCGACCTGCTTCTTCTTGAAGCCCTCCTTCCAGTCGGCCTAGAAGCGATGGATCATCCCTCAGCGCGGCGTTCACCCAGAGCTGATGTGCGCAACGACATACCTTAGCGACCTTGCTCGCCCCGCCCTTCTTCGGCGCGGCAGCTACGCCCTTCTTGCCCGCCTTCTTGGAGGGTGCCTAGACATCGCGGTTAACCCAACACTCAGGCATGTTGTTGATACAGAGTGCACACCATTATGCAGGATAGAGATCAGGGCAGATGTATGTGAGGCAGGCGATAGTAGACGCTGCAATGAGGCCACCGCTGCGATTGGGGTACGTGTATGGATGTTATGCCGTCTTCGGTATAGTAGAAGCTAAAAGTGCGGTTAGAGATGCAGTTTGGAGGCGAGAAAGGGCGAGAGTGTAGGCGGATCGAGGCGGAAGTGAGCTGATTGGTACAAAGTGAGTGCGATGCTGCAACCGCGCTCAGGCTCGGTCGGGACTGCGCGCGCCGCGGGCGCTTTGATCCATCCCCGCAAGACGGCTATGACATCGAAGTAACGAGATTACATCCGGTACATACAGCTACTCGTACAAAGATACACTACGGCTACAAGCTTAGATACAGCTCAGTCCAATATGCAAGTAGCTCATACAGCAATTTCAATCCCATGTTCCAGCACCCACTTCAACGCCTCCGCCGCAGGCCGCAGGATCGGTGAACTCGGATTCTGCCCGCAGCCCTTCACTGCTCCGACAAGTGCGCGCACGACGCCCACCCGGTCCGCCTCCCACGCCAGCTCCATCTGTTCCGCCTTGCTCCTCCTCTGGACGCCTACAAACAGATTGCGCACGCAGACGATCCCGCGATGGACCAGCCCCGGGACAGTCTCCAGAGCGTCTGGCTCGTCCTCGTCCTCTTCGACGCCCTCGTCCGCCGCAGGACGCGCGACGACGCTCGGGTCGATAAGCTGCCCCAGGATCGGCAGAACGCGATGTCGCTCGCGCTCGAGCGCGGCCAAGCCCTCGCACGCGTCCGGGGACGCCGTGAGGGTCGCCAGCGCGCCCGACGCGGCGAGCCGTGTGGGGACGTCGTCCACGTCGCACAGCGCGACGAGCACCTGGAGCTTCCCCTGCGCAGCCTTGTCGCGGTCCCCGCCCCACTTGTTGAACACCTCCTCGGAGCCCGCGACGAGGTTGCACACGAGCTCCGTGGCGGCCCGGCGGACGAGCGTGTGGTCCTCGAGCATGAGGAGCTCCACTTTGTTCGTGAGCCCGTCGGCGCGGGCGATGCGAGTCGCCGCTTCGGCGGATTGGGAGGAGAGGTTGGTGAGCGCCATCATCCCCTCGAAGCGCTGCAGGAGGGACGCGTTCGGGTCGGTCACCATGAGTGCGAAAGGGCGGATCGCGTCGTAGATCGCGCCTTCGTTGGGGCCGAAAACTTGGACGGGGGCGGCGGTGATAGCGAGCTTCGCCAACGCCTGTATCGCGTCAAAGTCGTCTTTCTCCATCTGCGCAATTTTATTTGAGTTTGAAGAAGTGGAAGGGGGGAGGATTGAATGGATGATCGTTTGGAGTGCCTTCGCGCCGCCGGCTTGGAGGACCTTCCCTCGGCTCTCCTTGTCCTCCACTAGGCTGAGGATGGCCTTTCCAACAACTGAGCGTACGGCACGGCTATCCGTCGCACGTACGGCAGAGGTCAAAGCCTCCATGACACCCGCCTTTAACAGCCTACGCCCGCGCTCTTGGACATGGTCGTCATCATCGAGGGGGTCGTTCTCCTCCTGTTGGTCCTGAGATTGGTTAGAACCCTGCGAGGTCTTAGCCATCCGCCGGAGCTTAGCGATCTGAGCCTCCTCCGCAGACAGACGCGGACGGTAGACACATAGATTCGCAACGATCACCACAACACCGTACAACGGAGACGCCGCAGACTCCCCAACGAGCTCGGCACCCGCGCCCTTGCGCTTAGGGACGAGCGTGAACAGCCGCCTAAGAAACGCCTCGTCCGCCGACAAAGCCTCCTTGACCGCTGGGCTCGTGCTCATATACGCCAAGCCCTCGACCGCGTCCCCGAGCGGAGACGTCTCGCGCGCGTCGACGACAAGCCTTTTCATGAGCGCGGCGAGCTCGTCGTCCTCCATGGCGGCTTTCTCCGCAGCGCCCCCCACCTCCGCCGCGTCCGCGTTCGCCCCCTTCCCGAGCTTGACGAGCGCGACGGCCGCAGCGGCACGCAGCTCCGCGTCGTCCGCCTGACGCGACTTCCACTCCAGCCAGTTCCGGTGGTCCGCTCCGAGCAGCGCTCGGCACGCCTTGTGCGCCGCGGCGCGTCCCAACAGGTGTGCGACGGCGAGATCGACGGCTCTCGACTTGGAGAAGAGGTCGAGCGCGTCCATGACGGCCTCCAGCGTGCCATCTCGCGTGAAGATTGCAGACGCAGAGAGGTGGTCGACGTCGAAGAGTGCAGACAGAAAAGTTAGACCGGCGAGTGCCTCGGGCTCTTCGGTGTCCGCTATTCGTGATGCGGTGGGAGCATCAAACGTGCGACATATCACCTGCGTCCCTTCTTCTGGAGTGGGAGCCTCGGAACGGCATCGTTGGCAGAACGCGGAGAGGACGAGGTAGCCCTTGGTATGGACGGCCACCGGACGCTGCGGGCTGAACGCGGAAAACACCGCAGCTAACTCATCCGGAGCGAAGGAGACCCAAGCCTTGTCTTGCGTCCTCCTGAGAACAGCATCGAGTACAGCGACAGCAGGGTCAGTATCAGATGTGGATGAGGAAGACATGGGGGCTCCCGGAGAGGTCTCCTGATCCTGTGGCGAACCGGCGTGAGCGTCTATGTACAACACTCACTGGCGGAAACCACCGCGGCTTAATCTCAGGATCTCATCCGCTGCTCCCATGGACCCCTCCCTTGGACCTCGCCGTGCCCTCGGAAAGCAACGTGTATCCGATAAGGCACCGGAGCAGCAACGCGGGGAAGATCTCCGCTTCCTCATGGGGCAGTCCGAGAAGTCCGTTGTGCCTGCTCTCTGTGATACCCCGGCGTTGCGTACGCGTACAAGCTTGTCGAAGTTGAACCTTGGTCTGTCCCCCAATGGCTGTTCAAGCATGAATCCAACTCCATGGTATAGACCACGCTACAGCGACGGCTCTTCCCCGCCAACGTCACTCAAAAAGTCTGGCTCGTCCAAACGAACCGTTGGTGTCGGGCATGTTAGAGTTCGGGGAAACGGAACTCGTAACTTGAATAGGCGTCTTCGGGGCACTGAAACTGAAACGCCAGCTATCTTGACTTCTGATGCTGCGATACTATCGCGTACGGATCCCTCCGAATGCCGGTCCTCCGCCTTCCGACTGCACTTGCGTCCTTGGAGTAAGAGGACGTGTGGCCACGTCCAAATCCGGCTTGCGAGCCCGCTCTTACCCTTCCTGTGGTGCGCTATTCCCAGTTGCTTGTCGCCGATGTCCATAGCTGATCGCCGCTATTCAGCTGAGCTGTACGAACTCTCCGTACCTGACGGTCAAACGACAGGGATGAACTTCGCTGTACACCGGCTGTGTCACTGCACCATCCGTACTACAAATTGTGGTATGACGTCATGGTGCCCGCGGTCGGCGTACGAACCGCGTGTGTTCACGAATCCCGTATGCCGGAACAGCCTCTACGAGGCATCGAAGTTCAATCTTTGAGCACGCGGATGCCTCACCCGAGGTCCGTTATGCCTCTAAGCGAAGCTTGCAGCGGCTTGGACGTTGCCGAGACAGAGATGCCTCCGGAGTGAGCCTTGGCCATATCCAAGAAACATTGATCTCCTTGTATAGATGCACCAGACGGACACTAGCTCAAGAGGTGGGCATGCAGGGACTGTAGGGAGCTGTTTCATAGGGAGGTCGTGGCTAGGTTTGCATTGCCTTAGCAAGAACGTCGAAAGTTACCTTTTCGGTAACTCAATATGGTACTCACAGACAGATGTCAGTGCCTCGTGAGAAACTGACGTCATAGTCATTGTACGGGCGCCCTCAGCAACCCCACCTATCCTAGTAGCGCCAAGAAGAAGGACTCTCATAAAGCTCCCCCATATCAAGCACTGCCCAAAATGTAGCTGCGTGTCCACCCCATTTACCAAAGTCCCCGCACCCTCTTCGTCATCATGCTCTCCCATCTCCTTCTTCCCTCCTCCAACGCCCATCTCTTTGCATCTGGCCCCTCGACAGACCACTTTCGGCCACAGGATGACATCCACGCTGCCACCGGTCACCAGAACAACACCAACGATGTGAGCGGGTGGCCGTGGTGTCAGTCGTGTCGGCCATTCGTCCAGATCCTATTGGCGCAGGGTGTAGCATCCGTCGCCGGACAGGGGACTACTTCGGCTCCCTGGGCGCTCACCTCGCCTTTTCCGGAGTACGTCTGCATCCCAGCACTCGTCCACCGATCACAACTCGGTATGTTATGACGTCATATCTGGGGATGGGCGTGCACTCATCCGGAACAGCATCCTTCACCGCCAGCATCGCCAGCCCCGTTGAGGCCATTAGTCCCGCGCTGTCACCGCAAGAGCAAATGGGGCCGACGGCTCAGAGCGGCACGAGCGCGGCCCAGCGCAAGACCCGCGGCGTGAAGATTGCTGTGTGTGCCCTTTGCATCAGGTCTTCTCCTGATCCCCGGATGACTTACCCAGCGTAGTGCACGAATTGTCGATTGGCGAACAAGCGGTGCGACGAAGGACGGCCGTGCGAGCGCTGCGTCAAGAACGGACTTGAACACTCGTGCGTCAGTGCTGAGCGCAAGCGGCGAAGGCGGACAGTGCGACAGACCGCAACGGCGAAGCTGACGCTTTCGACCACGCAAGTCTCGGTAGAGACGCCCCTGACCTCGGAGGGTACGTTCGGTCCATTCCATTTTCGTTATAGGATGTTGCTGACTAGCCACCGACCGACGACCCTACGGCGGCCACAGTCCATGTTACGGCTGGCACGTCGTATGCCGATGATTCCCAAGAGATCACTGACGTTGCCAGTCACAGCTCTCCCTCCGGAAGTTCCGTGACCGCGGGCGAATTAGACACCCCTCAACCGCAACCTGACCCTTCGGTGGCGTCAGCATCCGATTTCGCCGTCCATGCGTCCGCCAATATATGGGCGTCCTTACAGTCCTCCCCATTCGCGGTCGCCAACATTGACACTCAGATATTGGACTGGAGCTTCGACGACCAGCACCATGCCAACCTGCCATCCTTTGGCCATGGCATGCGCCCCACTGCAGCTGATTATCACCACCACGGTCTATCTCCGGCTGTGCTCGAGGGGACTGGGGCTTTCCAGTCTGCTGGTCAGCATTTCTAGCCCCGTCTTCTCTTACCCCCTCCTCCTCCGCCCACCTTTCGCTCCTCTAATCTGCAGCTCCTATGCTCCCTCCTCGCCGCGTTCATATAACCTATCTTAGTTCTCTCTCGCGCCGTCGTCTGTGATCTCTATCGCTACTGCGGGTACTTCTCGGTGCTCTCCTGCTGGCACACCTTGGATCGTCTAGCACTAGCCCTTGCTATATACCTCATCATATCTGTAACAATATCACCATCCACCTATACCACATACGTACAACTCAATCTGGCTATTTCTTGCAATTCATAATGCCTTTCCCCTCGTTTTCTCTCGTGAATCGCGCGTTACTCGAACTGTTCCGCAAGCCTCAAGGTACGCAACAAGCGATCCCGGCGAGGGATAGGATATAATATGATGAATACAGAAGCGACCGGCGATAGTGCGCAGCGGACGCAAGTTCTCTACAAGAAATAGTCTACAATGAGCGTGTAAGTAAGGTTGTGCCTCATGCAAATACAACGAGCCGGAGGGCGGCAGGTATCGGCAGCTGCAGGCGCCGCGCCGCCACACGACGCAAGCAAGCAGGGGTATACTCCCTCTCTCGCCCCCCGCCTCACCCGCAGATGTTCGGGTACTGCAGCTGCGTCGGGCTCTGCGGGATCCAGCCGTTCTTCAACCCCGCCTGGTACGTCCACTCGTCCGCGTCCTCCGCCTTCCACGTCCACTGCACCCACCCCGCGCCCTGCTCGTACGTGACCACCTGCGACTCCCAGTACTGCCTGAGGAACGTCTTGTACGCGGCGCTGAACCCGCTCGCGCTCCCCGTCAGGCCCGCGCACGAGCCGACCGCGGTCGAGCCGGGGTACGACCCGTCGTAGCGCGCGCCGACGCCGCGCCCGTTGAGGTACTTCGCGCAGTCCGTCGCCGCGGGCGTCCACTCGCCGACGATCGTCCAGAGGTCGAACGAGGAGAGCGAGGGCGCGTTCGCGCACGCGGCGGAGATGTGCTGCTGGTTCGTGCGCGCGACCTCGTCCTGGGAGAACATCTGGTAGATGTGCGTGTCGATCGCGACGCCCTGCCAGTTCGGGGGCGTCTGGAAGCCGTTCCAGTAGCTGTTTGAAGGAGGCAGATGGGGAAGGGGGCCCGAGGTCAGAAAATCTGAACTTCGATGGTTCTGATCCGAGGAGGGGATTAGACGCACCTCAGAGGCTGGAACGCGTCGTGGAGAAGGACAACGGTGTTGCTCTGTTGGGACGTGCCGTAGGGGAAGCTAAAAGCGTCGCGGGCACGGAGGTCAACAGGCCAATCTCCCCAAGGTGGAGCGAGCCAGCTTACCGGATGTTGCCGTACGAATCGTACCAGTACTGACGAACGACGCTCAGGACATCGCTGCCATCGTAGCCTGCGGGCCTGGGCACAAAGAAGCGTCTCAGTTCAGAGCTTCCATTGTGAGTGCCTTGTAAGGCTAAACGACGCACTCGTTGAGCGGCGCGATCACGGAGACGACGTCCTGGTCGTTGATGAACAGCGACGCGATCTGCTTGATGATCGCATCCGTACGTTGGACGTTCGTCGAGTTCGAGTGCCACTGAGGGAAGGAGATACGATGGCCGGAGTTGTCATAGCTGTTTAGACGCGAGCGATGAACGAAGTGGCGTCAACGATGGATCCGTCCTATACATAGGACTACGAGAGCGCGCAGGGAAGTCCACTGACCCGTTCTGGCTGCCGGGCGCGCCGTGCAGGTCAACAATGACCTTGATGCCATGGTTGCGAGCCCATCCGACAGCCTTCTGGAGATATGGAAGCTGCCCAGAGATGTACGGCTCCCCAGGCCCAACCTCGAATGCCCAGTATCCGATGGGTATACGGACGTGGTTCAGCCTAGAGAGACTCAGGCTCAGAAAGACACATGCACATCACGGCCACGTGACCCACCCAGCAGCGGCGATGTCGACGAAGTCCTGCTCGGTGATCCAGGTGTTCCAATGGTTCGTGAGCACGGACTGCGCGGTCGAGCGAGATTGGAGCTGGCCGAACGTCCACTCGTCGACAATGGCGTCGTTGCCCGTGTTGTCGAAGAGGCTTGGGGTGATCCACGGCTGCGAGAGAAGGAATGAGTGATGAGGATATGACGCGTCGCGTAATTATAACGTCCAGACGGCGCTCGGCTCGGACTCCGGGGAAGGAATAGAATGTATGGACGCAGCGCAAGGAACACCCACCTCCAGGACCAGCCAGCCGCCGAGGTTGACACCACGGACCTTGGTCGAACCATACGAGAAGCTGGGGTTAATCGGGTTGTCGGCGAGGGTGGCACGCGCAAAGAGCGCGACGAGGACAGACGCCGAAGAGAGGGCTGCTCTGAAGGAGACCATGGTCGTCGAGAGGCAGCGGTTGGAGACCCAGACACAGACACGGGGGCGGAGGGTCGAGGACGGGGGTCGAGGAGACAGGGAAGGGTGGTCTCAACCTAAATAGGCCTTCCTAGCCGTTGACGCTAGTATGTATGCTACCGCTTCTTCCATCACCTTTCGCGAGGGCGGATCGGAGAGCTGGATGCCCTACCCCACGTGTCCGCACCACACACGCTTCGCAGCACCCTCGCAGTTTGCCTATTTCAGGCCTTCAAATTCGCATAAACAGAGCGAGTTCATCTTTCGATCATGTTTGATGCTCACACATTTCGTGGATATCACGCTGGCCGGCCGAACAGGTCCACCTCTGGCCGAGGAATCAGGGATGGCCAAACCTGACCCATGTAGCACCTCGGAGGGCTTCTGCTGTGCCTGAGGAGCACAAGGGCGCTGTAGTCGACCGGCGATAAGACAAGAAACGGTAGGTCGACTTGTGTCGCCATCGTGTCCGAGCGGAATGACACGGGCGGCAGATGCGCAGGTGACCAAAGGAGACGCTTGCGTGATGGAGTCCAAACACGTCCTACTCGTCGCTTCCGCCTCGGGGCTCGAATTTGTGCACCCGGAATCCACTGGCGGCCAAGCGGTAGCACGTCAGTCAGGTGGTCAGGAGCTCACAGAGCCAGAGGCGTACCTGTCAGGCTGGACAGCGAGAAGGAATGGGTAGGTGCGTTTTAGCGGATCTAAGCCTACTCGCTCGAATCATGGCCAGCGTGGTGCACCCGGAGGCAACAGTTCCGGTGGGCAAGATGTGTCAGGAAGGCTTCATCTGCACAAGCAGTTGAGAAACAAGGGCAGGAATACGACGTCCAAACGGGAGGAAAATCGTGCGGATTCCCCCTGCTGTTCACGGTGAGAAGGCTGCGACGCGCGCCTCTACAACGCCTATGACTTGTGCGTATAATTAGACAGAGGACAGAGAGCACGCACGACTGCATGCGGGTCAGGGAAGCAAGGTACGAGAAGGTGTAAGATGAAGAGTGCCGAGGCAACGCCGGCAGGACGATGGAAGTGAAAAACGGCTGGAGGGGCCCATCTAGTCCCGAGAGCTTCTGTGCTTGACCTTCCGGCGGCTGTTCAGCTCATCTATCCGTCACGTATCCCATCCACAACCGCCAAAGATACATCTTGGAGCAAAGACCGCGATGCGTCGGGTCGAATGCGTCGTCAAGTATCAAGGATGCGCTAGAAGTCAGCTCGGGACATGGTGGTTGTGGTTCAAAAAGGCAAATGGGCTGAAACTTGCACTTCGAGTGGATTTGGCGGACTCCCAAGCCCGAGGTCCCTGTAGGCTATGACGGCAAACACCACCACAGGAGGTGATATTGATTCCAATGACGGCCTGGACGGTGAGGGGGACAGCCACGGTGCACCGCTGGGGAAAGCGATGTGCTGCTGGCTGTACGTACATGCCGCCGGGCACGGCGTCTTCCGAGCACATTACACCTTGCGCCCTCCACAGACGCGTCTCGCTCTCGGGTTAAGTAGACCGCCCGACAGCCACATCCTGCTCACCACTTTCATCCCTATCCACCTCCACGACCTTGCTTGCCACGTCTTCCTCTTCGCCTTCGCCTTCGCCTTTTGTCTGTTTGATTCGCTTTCTACGCTACGCTACCAGCTATGTCTATCGATAATCTCCGCCAACGCTACGAATCTGCAGGCCAGGGACACCTCTTCACCTTCTGGGACCAGCTCTCCGACGCCGAGCGCGAGGAGCTCGTCGCCCAGCTCGAAGCCCTCGACATCGAGCGCGTCAACCGCATCTTCCACAGGGCCGTCTCCGCCGAGAAGCAGTTGGCAGACAACGCCGGCAAGGAGTCCATCGAGCCCCTCCCCGAGGACGCCGCCGACTCGGTGATCGGCGTGCCCGAGAAGGAGAAGGAATGGCGCGCGATAGGCCTCGACGCCGTCGCGCGCGGCCAGGTCGGCGTCCTGCTCATGGCCGGCGGCCAGGGCACGCGGCTGGGCAGCAGCGCGCCGAAGGGGTGCTACGACATCGGCCTGCCCTCACACAAGTCCCTCTTCCAGTACCAGGCCGAGCGGATCGCACGCCTGCAGACGGTCGCCGCGCAGCATGCGGGCAGGCCCGCGGGCTCCGTCGTGATCCCGTGGTATGTCATGACCAGCGGCCCGACGCGCGCAGAGACCGAGGCGTTCTTCAACAAGAACGGCTACTTCGGCCTGGACCCCGCGAACGTGGTCTTCTTCGAGCAGGGTGCGCCGCTCTCTCTCGTACTCAATGGCGCTGTGCGCGATCTGATCAGACGCTCTGACGCACAGGCACCCTCCCGTGCCTCACCATGGACGGCAAGGTGCTGCTCGAGACGCGCTCGCGCGTCGCGGTCGCCCCGGACGGCAACGGCGGCCTCTACGCCGCCCTCCGCCAGCCCCTCTCGCCCGCGGACAAGGCGCACACGGTCCTCTCCGACCTCAGCAAACGCAACGTCCTCTACGTGCACTCGTACTGCGTCGACAACTGCCTCGTCAAGATCGCCGACCCCGTCTTCCTCGGGTACTGCATCCAGAAGCAGGCCGACTGCGCCGCCAAGGTCGTCCCCAAGGCGTACCCGACCGAGTCCGTCGGCGTCGTCGCCCGCCGCGGGGACCGCTTCTGCGTGCTCGAGTACTCGGAGATCTCCAAGGAGCAGGCCGAGCGCCGCACGCCCGCGGGCGAGCTCGCGTTCCGCGCGGGCAACATCGTGAACCACTTCTACACGACCGCGTTCCTGCGCTCCGTGCAGGCGTTCGAGGACGAGCTCGCGTTCCACATCGCGCGCAAGAAGATCCCGCACGTCGACCTGCGCTCGGGCGAGCCCGTCAGGCCCGCCAAGCCAAACGGGATGAAGCTCGAGATGTTCGTCTTCGACGTGTTTCCGTTTACGCGGCACTTTGCCGTGCTCGAGGTCGCGCGCGCGGAGGAGTTCAGCCCGCTCAAGAACGCGCCCGGGACGGGCTCGGACGACCCCGAGACGAGCCGCCGCGACCTGCTAGCGCAGCATAGGCGGTTCCTGGAGGCCGCGGGTGCGACGGTGGAGGAGGGCGTGGAGATCGAGCTCTCGCCACTCGTTACGTACGCCGGGGAGGGTCTGGAGTCCGTCAAGGGGAAGACGTTCACGAAGTCGGGCGTCGTCAGCTCTGTTGAGGAGCTGGACGCCCTCGTGTAAAAGCCCCCGCAAGAGACAGTGATAATACCCGCACGCAAGAAGCATTAGATTCGGACTGTGTACCATCATCGTATATCCCGTCGTCGCAGCTGTTGTGTCGTTCTTCACGGACTTCGTTGTTTTTTTTCCCCCTTAAATCCACTGGGATGCATCTCACCTCGCAGCCTGCGCAGAGGCCCACGTTCTCCGGAAAACTATGCTTGATATCAGTGGCCATCGACCTCACGCACGCGGGGCGGAAGCCGAGAGTCTCAAATCAGAACCGCGACGTATGCCGAGCATGCGATGAGGTACAGTCTACACGTAGGAAATCCGACTGGTCACCACATGCTCGCCGCCGTCGCTGTCACGAGCCATCTGCCTTGCGACTGCCGTTGACTACCTTCTGATTCTGCCCCTCTGGCGGCCCGTCTTGTTGCTTGTGGGCCTCCTGTTTGTGCAGCGCCCCGTGTAATGATTGGAGAAATTGTCGTGTTCGTTCGCTGTCGGGCTGCTCGTAACGCCATCAGCGACCACACCCGTGCCACCATGCCATACCCGAGAGGCAGCCCGTGTATGCGTGCGAGAACGTACCTCGTGACAACATGATAGCAGCTTGTTAATGAGGATGGTTTGCTGCTCTGTCGCGTCGTCCAGCTCTTTGCGTAACTGCTTGCTCTGCGGATGCGACAGGGAATCAGCGCTCTCGATGCAGACAGAGCCGTAGAAGACACACACACCTCTTCCTCCATCTTGTCTGCCCGGGCTTTTTCGGCGTCGGCGAGCTGCTTCTGCTCTGCCGCGCGTGCCCGCGACAACAGCACCTCGAGCTCCTTCGAGCGCACGACACACTCAAAGTGCTGTTCTCGGAGCTTGTACTGTCGCAGGATCTCCTTCAGCCGCTCGCGGACGCTAGAACGCAGACGGTACATGTCAGCTGCTGCCTCGAGCGGGCACGCGGGAAACCCAGCAGGACGCACACTCCGTCAAAGATGTTCTGGAGAGTCTTCCGCGCCCTGCAAAACCGTCAGTCTCTCCCAGCCCCAGCGAACGGTCGAGCGGATCAGGGCCCACTCACTCTGTCGGGTCCTCCACCCACTCCTTCCTCAGCTTTGGCCTCACCGGCCGCGGCTGCCCCTCGTCCAGCTCCTCCGTCCCCGGCCCGTCCGTCAGGTCCATCATCTCCACCGCCAGGATCACGTCCCCGTCCTCGATGCCCGCCTCCTCCGGCGTCTGGTCCGGCTCGAGCGTCCTGCCCCCGTGCGAGAAGATGAACTGCATCGCGCCCGCACTGGGTGCGGCCCCGCTCGCGCTCCCGACGATCGTCCCGGTGCCGTTGACGAGCGAGCTCGCGCCCTTCTTCCCTGCGGCGGCCGAGCCGGCGGACGAGACGACGTTGTTCTCCATGCGCTCCGTCCACGCGTTGAAGAGCCGCGCGAGCTTCGTCTTGCGCGAGATTTTGAAGTAGAGCTCGGCGCGGTACTTGCAGACGACGCGCACGACGATGTCGGGCATCTCGCGGTACTTGGACTCCTGGATCTTGGCACGCTCCGCGCGCTTCGCCATGTCCGTCTTCATTTGCGTGATCTTTTGTGGGGCGGTATGGGCCTGGTTGGGCGAGCTGAGAGGGGGAGAGACGGAAGGGGGACGTACCTCTTCTTGCGCCTCCTCGACGCACGTCGCTAGTCGTTTGCTGTCTTCCTGTATGCCATGTCTGTGAGAACGCCAGCGATGTCTTCAAATGAGCTAACCGACCCGCAGCTTCTTGTTGTCCTGAGGGAGCGGTCAAGATCAGAATCAACATAGAGGGCGATGGTGACGCACTTTCTGCAGCTCCCGCGCGAGGTTCTCCATCTTCGTCTTGGTTTGGTTCGCCTTCGTCAGTTGACTCTTGGCTGTAGGATGCACGAAAGTAAGGACGTCGTCTGCACTGTCGAAAGCAATGACAGGCACGAGCAGACGCACCAGCATCCTTGTCCTTCACCAGCTTCTGCTTCTCCTTCGCATGGTCTCGCTCCAGTCGTTTAAGCTCTGCAAACTAGGCATAGAGCAGAGTTGCATCGTCAATTTTCCGTCTTGATATCAGACCAATGGCACACGCACCAGCTCAATGTACTTTGCATGTATCGCCGTCTCCGTCATCCCCCAGACACTCTTCTGCGCCTCCTCCGCTATGTCCCGCGCACGCATCCGAAGCCCCGTCAGCATCATGTATCGCACATGCCTGGAAAGCACAACATGAGGGACCAGCGGGCCCGCACGTCACTCACCGAACCGCCGCTCCTCCTCCTCCTCGTGTACCTCCTCCTCCTCGAGCGCCGCGATCCTGCTCTTCAACGTCTCGTACATCTGCGACGGGTCCACGGGCTGCGGCTCCGCGGTCTTCTTCTTGCCCTTCTGCGCGGGGGGCGCATGCGCCCCGTTCGCCGCCGTCCCGTTGGGCTGCTTCGGCGGGGCGGGTGCTGCGTTCGCGTTCGGTGCGTTGGAGTTGGCGTTTGGGGGGGCCGGCGGGGCCGCCGCGGGCGCGGGCGGGGTGGGCCCTGCGGGGACGGGCCTGCCGTGTTTCGCGGCCTGGGTGCCGTTCATGGCGGGGGACGGGTGTCCGGCGGGGTGGGCTGCGTCCGCACGAGAGCGCGCGAGGCCGGGGGTCTTTCGTGGGAAGCAGCAGGAGAGGAGGCTGAGCAACACAGTGTCGGCGGCGCGGATGCGGCGAGGCGAGACCGGCAGAATGAGGGCGGGAGGGGGGGGGGTGGAGTGAGCGGGTGTGAGGTCACGATGCAAGAGAACTGAGCCTGGCGGAGGCGGCGGAGAGGACGGCGCCAGTGACGGCCTGAGGCTCAAGCGGGCTCTGCGAGCAAACGGCCGTGTTCGTTTGTCACGTTCCTTGGCCCGCTGCTTTTCTCTCTGCATTTTGTCACACTCGCTCTTGGTCTTTGACCACCACCTCGCCCTCGCGCGCTGACGCGGACGGTCGCGTATGGGGCCACCGATTTGCTCGGGGCTTTGACTCTCGGTCAGACTTGGTCGGGCCAATCGGGCCTTTCAGATGACTGCTCGCGGGCCCTCTGTCCCCGATGTGCACCCTGTGATCCGCCGTTATTTTCAGCTCAGTGCCTCCAAAGGCAACCTATACCACCCGCGCTTGTGTAAACAGGGGAAGCGGGAAACGCACAACCACCCTCGAGCACCTTGGCTATCCAAGAGCGATTGGCGGCCGCAGACGGCGAACAATCATGTCGTCCTCTACCCACCCTTCTCGTTTTGCGTGCGCATATACTGCCAATGATGCTATCTCCACGTTGCCGCTCCGAGTTCGATCCGCTGATAGACGTACATGCGTCAGGCGCGTGCAAGCCAGATATTTCCCGGTCATGGTATTTCGACGATCTGTGTTGATAGCTACCTGACGTGGACGAGTTTTATTTGTCGTAGCACACCCAGGAGCGCAAGGGACAACATCCCCGTCCCGATATTTTGCGCGGAAATCTTCCCAGATTCGTGAGTGCGTCCTCTCAAACTCCTCCAGCAAGACAGCCTGTTGTAAGGCAGCGTGCACAACTTGTCGAGTAGAGATGCGTGTTGGCATTACGACTCCGAAGAGCCGGCATTAGGACGAGCATTATACTTGTTGTAGCGCAACTTGTCTAGATTGCAAGATGCGGATGAGCACATCGTCACTCGCCCAGCACTGCCTTGAGTGAACTCACCTAGGTAAATGGCCAGCGAGCTCTATGAGTCGACGCCTCATGAGCTCTCGGTGCTCTCGAGCGGCTCCCCAACCGACCACTTCTTGAACTCGAGCACCGCAAGCGCAGCGTCCTCCCCGCTGCCCTCCCCGCCCAACTTGTTCCTATCCGCCCAATTCCGCAACTCCTCCAACACCGTGCTCCCCGTCTTGTTCACGAACATGTCCGGAGGCTGGCCATAAAGAGCCTCAGCATCCCGGCCATCCGACTCGCCGACCCTCGTCACCGGGAAGCCGACGATCGTCCGGCCCAGCGACCGCTCGAGCGCCGCGAGCTCCCTCTGGAACGCCTCCGACGCGACCAGCTCCGGCAGCCTCGCGCTCCTGAACGCCAGCAGCGCCAGCGCGCCCTTCGTCCCGTTCGTCGGCACCGTCACCGCCCCGTGCACGTACGGGAACGCGCGGAGGCCCAGGCGCCGCTGCGCGTACGGCAGCGGGTCCCGCGCGACCGCGACCGCGCGCCGCAGCGTGATCTTCTCCCCCACCTTCGCCACCAAGTCCCGCACCGCGCCCCCGACCGTGTTCGCGTGCGCCGAGAGCCGCCCCGCCGGGCTCGCGCCCACCGGGTCCGCGTGGTCCAGCAGCGGCGCGTCGCCCAGCGCGTCCAGCCTCACCTCGCGGACGAACCCCTCCCCCCGCGACGCGGCGGGCTCGGCGAGGAACGCGGCCGTGTGCGCGACGTCCGCGAGGAGCTTGTTGAACAGCGCGCCGCGCGCGACGAAGTCCGTCTCGCAGTTCAGCTCGACCATCGCCGCGCGCACCGCGCTCCCGCTCGCGCCGGGGCGCGCGCCGGGGGAGAGCACCTGCACGCCGACGAGGCCCTGGCCGGCGACGCGGCCGGCGAGCTTGGCGGCTTTCGCGGCGCCCGAGGCGGCGCGGTCGGCGTCGAGCCACGCGAGGGCGGCGGGGAGGTCGTTGTTGCTGGCGGCGAGCGCCTCGCGGGCTTTGGTGAGCGAGACGCCTTCGGCGAGCTTGCGGAGCTCGGCGATGAGCTTTACGGGGGGCTTGGGGGGTGCTGTTGAGTAAAGACGGGGGAAGGAGGCTGTGGATCGGCGGAGGGCGTACATGCTGGGCGAGAGCAGATGGGTTGAGGGGGGAGGAGAGATGCGCTGTGCAGACGCGCGAAATTGACCGCGCTGGGTTCTCTCGCACGTGCTTGGCGCTAGTGCTCGGCGATTCTTGGCCTTGGACTCTGCTCTGCACCTCACGACACTGGGGATCATTCTTTTCTCATCATTTGGTCAGATTACCAGAAGCGTTCTCCGATATCCTGTCGAACGGGTGAGCAAACGCACGTCGTCAGATAGAAGTCTAGCAATCTCTTCCGTCAGTCAAGAGGCCCAGCTCCCTGCGACGTAAGGGAGCTTTCAACTGCAACAACTCACGAGTGAAATCAGCGCACATCTTCCAAGCACCCTTCAAACTCCTGCTTGTCCCACGCACCAAAGCATATCCTGACTCCCGGTCAAACTAAATACCCTCCTCCACGAGCTCCCTCCCCCCCAATGCCCACAAATCTCTCTAGCACCCAAATGGACTCGGCCACCATACCCACCTCCATATCGCCCCTATCTTCCGACGGCCACCCCGGTCCGCCGCCGCGGCGCGTACGCATTACACCGGAACCCGCCATGCAAGTCCTGACGACCACCCGCACTTGTGGAAGACGTGGAGAGGCCGCTGGCGGTAACAATGAATGCGGATGGGACTCTGACGACGACGAAGGTGGCGAACATCCCGTCTCGCTGCTTGGAGCCGCTCGGGAGGTGCGATGTGTGAGAGACGACGCAGAGCGCGAGCAGGAGACATCCTCCACGTGTGCGTGGAAGCTGCAGGGGATCATAAGCACAATTGGCGGGTTTCGGACGTTGTGGGTGAGCCACAGTGTGCCGGACTCGTATGGCAGGAGCTGGTATAGCTCAGCGCGGGGATTGCTGGCCGGGCAGTTGATCCCAAGAGTGTTGCACACGCTCTGCAGGTGGTAGCCATGGACATGGAATTCCATGGAATCAGAATCAAGAACAACCTGGGTGTGATGATGGCTTTAGGAAAGGCAGACACATGTTCTTCCTCCGGGGAGACTGACTAGTAGAGAGGCGGCGGCCAAGCTACCCCGGTTTACTATACCTTGCTCGACTATCGACTTTGGCCACTGATAGAGAGGTATGAAGACCTGTTCATGAAGCGATAGCGAGTGTGCCCGTCACGCTACCTGCAGAGGCCACCCCGGACGGCAACGTTGGCGTGATCCAATCGACGCGTCGGACGCGACGAACACGACCCGTCACGGAACGCGTGGCCGTGACTTGAGCGACTGGTCCGCGGCAATCGTGGTCACGGACGACGTCTGGCTATCAGCTCTGTATTCAGCCTCGAAGCTTCGAGTCCCGCGAACCCCTCATGCGAGTTCACATCTATTTCTGTTTCTTTCCTTCTTTTACTCGGTCACAAACTAAGATGCATACACACACCCAGGCTGGCGGCATGCTCCTACAAACACACTTACGCCACCCCCGCTTCGGCCACCCCTCCCATCCGACCTCCTAGACAGCTACGAGGACGATATGCTGCATGAACACCTCAGTGTAATCTAACTGCCGGACACTCACTGCTCACCTCGGGGCCCAATCCAAACGATCGAAAGCCCTGTCGGTCTCGAGTATGTACTTGAGCTGATACTCAAGTATCTGCTTGATCGGACCCTCGAGAGGCCAGAGCTCACCCGGGGGGATGCTCGGGGGGCTGCGGCGGTCACGGCTGTCGTCGCCGTGACTGGGACGAGCGGCGACAAGGATGGCAAAGAAAAGTGACGGCAAAAAGAGCGGCTTGGAGTTTGGCGATCATGGCTTGCATGCATGGTAGATGAAGAGGGACGTGCGGGCTGCGGAGTAGATTCGCTGAATGTGTCGACACAGGCGGTGCGTGGCTTGTACCCCTGCTCGTGCCCGCCATGATGAGGGCGGACGCTGAGGAATCATACCTCCAGTTACTCGAGATGGATTGGTGCGTGCGCAACCACCCTTGCGGCGTTCGCTTGAGAACCCATGTCAGATTCTCATCCTATAGCCTTGAGAAGGCTAGGGCAGACATTGATGACCTACGAGGGCACGATCGGCCCGTCATGGTCGAAATACGAGCATGGGTCCGCCGCCGTTCAAGCATCGCTGGGTGAGCAACTTTGGCGACTACTAGGCCGCGCCGGGTGAATGCTATGTCTGCAACAATCCTTTCACTTATCACAGTGTCGCGCATGCCATCCAGTCCGAATTCCCTACATCGTACGACGTCACGCACAAACTAAGGTGAGTCGACAGTAACTTGGTTTTCAACACGATCCGACGTAGTCACAGTCATTGGCCACAGGCTCCACAGGCCAAGCTCATATCACGCGGCCGCCATCCCGGCAAAAACGCCACGCCCTCCCTCGAAACCCTCGGTACGTGCGTCGTACGGTACTGTCTCTGGCTGGATCGAATGCTCGCTGGTCGGCTGGCCAGTGCAGTCAGCAACCCGGGCGCGAATTCGGGCATGATATGTGGTGCAGATCGGATCGCGTCAGGCCACTATCCCCGTTCGCGCACGAGTTCTGACAGAAAGCATTAGAAGGGCAAAATTTGAGGAGGCTATCTGCGCGCCCCACCCAGCTTCAAGACAAGACAGGTCGTACACCTTGCCGTGCGCGGCGTTGAGTCTTGCGAACGCCGCATCCTTGTGTCGCACGATGTCCCACAACTACAACTCGGACCGGAGCGAAGTGGTGATCACGCCACGAGCCGATTGCGAAGGGTGGCGGCATACTAATCTACGCCGACTACTGCCGGTGTATACGAGTGCGGGGCGGACAGTGCGATCGAGGCAGACTAGCGCGGCATCACACTCGCCTTGGTTCGCTTGCGAGAGCGGGCTGCGACTGACATGCACAGCGCACATTCACTGTTATAAGAACGGGCCTCTGAACGTAGTCGCGCGGACGCCCTGCATCCCGTCCACTCTGCGCGATGTCGGACCTTGCCGAACCATAGTCAAAATCTAGACGAATACGCTGGGCCGATCAAACGGACCTTGCCTCCGCAAGTGGAACTTGGGGATCGAGCAGTAGCGCAAGTCGACGCGAGAGGCGTTTGCTCCTCCCGCTCGAGTTCTAGGGCTGGGCCCAGCTGCCGGTACAAAGCACAAAGCGGTGTATCAGCGGCGGGCCGGTGTCTGAAGCAGATCGCACGAACCAGCTGCAGAGGATACGCCAGCGTGGTGCGAGATGTCGCTCCAGCCACTGCCGTGGAACGAATCGGGCTGGTAGGCCATCAGCGAAGACAGCCTGTGCGTCCCCGAACGCTCGCTCCAACACTCTGCGGCATCTAAGGGTACTATCAATGACTTTCGTCGCAGCATCAGGATGGGGGAGACGAGGCGTCGGCGGCGCACCTTCCGGATCGACGGTGTACTCTGCACGCGGGGATGTCACCGCCCGCAGCATCTTCTCTTCCTGCCACCTCCGCCACCATGTCGTGGCGAAATAGCCCAGAACGACGAGGAGGATGAGAAGCGCGGTGCCTCCTCCTGCAGCTGCGCCGGCGACGATGGCGGCGCGCGTCTTCGCTGTAGACGCGGTATCGTTTGTCTGCGCTGCCTGTGCGGGGTCCTCGGATGCTGTAGCGTTTGACAACGCGAAGGCCAGGACCGCAGTGGATGAGGCAGCGGGGCCGGAGACCACGGCAGGAAGGGCGGTGTCAACAAGCGTAACCCGTGTGTCCTGTAGCCATTTCTGATGAGCACAACAATGAGTCTGCGGGGGAGCAGACGACGCACCTCTTCGACCGAAGCCAAAATCATCGCATCCCGTCGCACTACTAGGCCTGAACGACCCGACACGCCCGCGAACGCTCCCGAGACCAGCCCGGGCACAAGACAGAGGTAAACAGAGATAGCTGAAGCGGACAAGACCTGCATGTCATGGATGCGAGAGGGCGACCCAAACGGAGCGAGCCCGAGGGTCCCGGCTGGGCATATTTAAGCCGTCGGAGTTGGCAACGTAGAAGACGGTCGCGAAAATGAAAGAAGCACTGTACAATCTGATGTTGAGGTTAGTCGCGATTTCTCGCGCGCGGCTGCTTGGCGAGCAGGGCCGGAATGTCGAGAAGCTGCTGTCCATATTGGGCAGGCACCGAACGGTGTCGAAAGCACTTGCGCAGCGTCGTCGAGTATACCCTGCCCAGCACCTGATGCCCTCGCTGCTGTATGGCAAGTCCCTCGATGAATCCACTGAGATGGCTGTGCACGTGAAACTCATGAGAAATCACTTGTGCAATATACCGCACCTTCTGCCTGCGTTCCCATTGTGCTCCATTTCATTCGACCCACCGTCCGGGAAGCTGAGAGTGTAATCATGCAATGCACATGGGAGATGAGAAGGGAAGGTAAAATGACACCGCCACACAGTTTCTATACCACATAAGCTGTCTACCTTCCATAGGCACGCAATGGTAACATACAGACTCCTATAAGCGCCAGGATATATACTTTGACCTCCCCAGCACCGTGACAACCAAAAAACTCCTCAAGCACGGACCTGGGCGGTCTGCGGCGCCGCGTGGTGCTGCTGGTGAGGCTGCGGCTCCGGTTCCTTCTTCTCGAACAACGAGTTCCACCATCTGGCGATCGCGTTCTCCATGCACCCGTATACGCGGTCGGTCTGCTCCAGTACCCCGTCCTCCGCACGATACGCGCTCTGCGTCAGCTTCTTCTCGTAGTGCGCCTCCGCGTGATCCTCGAGCTTGTCGCCGGTTTTGTCAATGAAGTTGGTGAAGTCGGAGCCGCTGCTGCCGTTGGCTGTGTTCGCGGCGGCTTGGCCGCCCTGTTGCTGGTAGGCCTGACTACCCTGCTGGGGGTACGCGTCGTTGCCTTGCTGATAGTTTGCCTGGTTGGGGTCCTGCTGGGACGACTGGTTTCCCTATTGACAAGTCGCGGAAGCCTTTAGCGCCTGTAGAATACATGAAGCTCGGATGGTAGACTCGTACCGAATCAGAGGAGTCCTGTCTATAATGGTTTGCGGCCGCATGCGTCAACTGATGCACGGCGGCGTGCTGAAGTTTGTCCTGCATCTGCTGCTGCTGGGATGATGCGTTGTGATGGGCTTGAGGGTGCGCCTGCGGTCGCGTCTGAGTGCGCGAGGCACGGGGCTGCGAAGAAGGGCGTGCATTACGCTAGAGAGCAACGTGTGAGACTCGAGGTGAGCAGTTGTCAATGAGAACAGCATACCTCGGGACGGTAGTCTTGTGGCTCTCGAATATACTGATCCCGGCTGTCCGGGGAAGGATCGTTGTAAGCTAGCCCCTGGTTGTCGTTCTCGTCCTCTGCGCCCGTGTCCGGAGATGTTGTGCGGTAATCGTTGTCGCCGTACATGAGAGCAGACACTGTAGAGGGGCGAGAGAGCGAATGGAGGGCGTGGACCTGATTGTGTCCTCATAGATGTGTCTGCGATATTTGAGTCAGGTTTTCGACCAAAGTGACAACCTTCTATGACGAGTCCCTGTACACAGTAGATCCTCAGTCAGCGTCCTATCTGTCCGGAGACACACATAAATGATGCGCACGGACGTAATTATGAGCGCTTCACGACACTTTGCGTTGACAGTTTGACATTTTCGACATCTAGAAGCCCAAGGACACCTAGCGAAAGGCCTGCAATGGGTCCTTACGACTTATGAGCCCCACGCTGAGCACGGAACTGTCGATCTCGGTGCGGGGGAGAGGATCTGCACCCAGTAACAATATC